GCAGAGAAAGGTATGGTGGACGAGGAAGAGCGCGTTGAGGAGGAAATTGAAGGACCATCAAAGAGGCGTCGGACGGGTTTACGGCTCTGTGGCATCTGCCGCAAGACTGGCCATAATGCAAGGACATGCTCGGAGGCTGGAGAAGTAGATAGCTGAAGCGATTCTGAGTAGTTTCAATTGATTGCATCAGATTCTGGTGGACTTTTGGCAGTTTGTAGTGGCATAGTCCGGAAAACGTGTCCGACTCAATGGGGTGTCCGAGTCAATGGTGAATCACGTTACCTGAACGAACCATTCGCTGTCAGTCGATGTCCATGACGAAAAAGAGGCGGCACAGCTTCTGAGGCTGCCTGCAACAACGGGCAGTGCTGCCTATGAAGCCACCTCCAACAGTGAGAGTTTCATGGTACTTCCAAGGTGTAACTATTGTATTCCACAATGAAAACCGACTTCGTGATAGAACCTACGCACAGTCAGCCGTTTGTATATCACCAACAAGGTGTTATGTAACGGCCGGCTAACAGGCTGAGCCGTAATTGTAGTTCAATTAAACCCCAAGGTTTACGGTATAAACCGTGGCTGAGTTGGAAATGGCGAGAGCAAGGCTACAACACCATGGAATGAATGGCGCACTTGCCAAACAACCAGCCCAACTCGCTGCTCACCTCAGTTGAAAGCCTCAATCGCATTTTCTCTAGGAAAAACCGACTCTTGCGAACACTAAAGATCATAATCCGCCACGAGGAGTTGACCATTCCTTCCGAGACTCGGTGCTCCTCCTCCGAGATCTATCGTCAGGGTAAGCCAGGCGGCCCATCGCCAGCAATCTTCATCCAGGCTAACCACTGAGCATTGAAGTCTACGGTTCAACCGGCAACTATTCTAAGTCAGGCACGTTCCGCTTACGAGACCTCGAGTACTATGGTTGCTGTGCTAACTCGAGTTCCAGCGCAGAAATAGCCCGGCTACTCCTCGACACAGAGGATCTCGACAGCCACGAACAGCCAAAATCCAAGAAGGATAAGTCCATCGCAGCGAGCGTTGACGAGCACCCGCAAGCCTCCGGAATCACCGGTCCGGTCCGAGGGAACGCAAGAAGAGATTGAAACGGAATACCAAAGACCTCGCCGAGTTACTGATCTCCGACTTCACCTGAGACTTAATCACCATCGTCGAGACGAACTGCAGCGAGACATCAGAGGGATTCCAGTACGTGCCTCTGAGGAATAAGATCGACACCTGTAGCGACGGCAACTACATTAGGTAGCCACATGATTCTAGGCCAGCACGACGTGAGAGAGGGCAAGATAAGAGCAATTGCAGAGAGCGACCAGGAACACGCAACTCTGTCATGATTCGCGGATACAAACTCATGTCGCAAAGGAAGATCACACTCGACTGGGTATCGGCCCAGATGAGGAGACCGAGAAGAGGAAGGCAACATTCATTGTTGCTGAAAACAGCCCACCATTTGATACTCTGATCTGCGAAAAGGATTGGGATACAGAAAAGCCGCAGCCCGGTTTCTGTCATTTTTGGACGCCGAAATAAGAAAAAGGGCGGGTGCATCGTAATCACCAAATGCCGATTGTCAGCAAACTGAACAGCTAACGTGCGAAAAGCCCAGCGTAAAGCAGAAGCCGAGGAGGAAATGAAGCAAGAGAAAGTGGCAAGGGAGTTGGTGAGAGACAGCAGCTGGAAGAGCTGGAAAGGCTCAATGCCCTGTGATGGGCTGAGCCCATGATGGCCTCGGCAACCCTCGGCCGTGGTATCATGATAACGTCATCCTGAGGCAGGCAGTGTCTGTGTGTTCCGGAGCATATAAGAGCTGCCCTCTCTTCCTCTCATCTAGTTCTCTCTTTTCTTCTTCTCTCTCCATTCGAGACAAACTCGTAGAGTCGTCACCAGCTAGTTGCAATATACTCCTGGGACCGTTACAGCCCACAGGAAGAATGTTGCCTTCGTGGCTTCTCAAATAACTGCCGCGCAACGGTCTTTCGGACTGCTTTGGTGACCGGTCCATATTGGGAAAACAAACAAGACGGACAGGTTGTTGTCTGATTTCACAAGCGCAACCTTAATCGAAAGCCTGTTGTTGATCTTGGAACTCACACTGCGGACGTGGAGTCTTTGAGCCTTGCTGGCCCGCCACAGCCCTGGGTTGACGTGTCGGCACTTGGGCTAAGGCAATGCTGTCTGAAGGTGCCGCTGCCCAGGCAGGAACCTAGTCACTGAACTGGGCTCCTGCAATCAGGTGCCACATACCAAAGGTCACAATCACAATCATGGAAGAAGCAACAGCCGGTTAGAAGTTCATCGCATCGAGTAACCCCGTGAGCAATCCGCCTCCAGCCAACCCGAGCAGTTACTGTCCCTCTAGCTCCAGCCGATCCATGACCTCAACGCCTTCACTTCCCATGACCGGACCGCCGGTGTAACCTTTGTGCTACCTCCCGCAACTGACACCCAAAACCCGACGCCCAATTCCACCAAAGTCCGGTGCAAGTCAGGTCGTTGTCTGCGTGACTTAGAGCCACTCCCAGGTGCCTTGGATGCGACCGACTCCCAGGTCCGCGAGAGCCTCTGTGCAAAAAAACTGGTCAGCCATCTCATTTTTGTCCATCAATTGACCGAGAATGGAGGCAACAGAGAAGCAAAAAGAACATAGTTAAACGAAAGACGTGACTTACGGGAAGCAACCAGGGACAGGTCGAGATCGCCCTAGTTGCAGACCTCGCAGCGGTCGGCGACGAAGACGTCGACGTGCTTGCCGTTGTACGAGGCGCGGAGGTACTTGGTGCAGAGGGTGTTGTGGCTGGGAGTGTGCACGTCGAAGTCCCGTTGCTGAGAGCGACCATATACTCGGCTGAGGTGTGAGTACCACCGCACGCGCCTGTGCCAGGTCGTAGTAGGTGAAGTTGCCTGAAGTGAGGTGGACCTCCTCGCCGCGCCTATTGACGTTGCCCGCGACGGCAGTAGCCGAGATGGCGCCCAGGAGGGTCGCCGTTATGGTGAGGATGGTGTTATGTCCTTGGTGAGCATTGTGAACGTGTTCTTGGTGGTAACTGAGTGTGAAAGAGCGTCTTGAAGGGATGATCTTGATCTTGATTGAGAAAGAGCGAAGAGCGTGAGTGGTGGCGTAGAAGGAGAAGAGGAGGAGGAGGAAGTGGTGGCTGAGGGAAATATTTATAGACGACAGACCTGAATACTCATCCCAATTGTGTTTCCAAATCAGCCACTTGATCTCGCGCTCCAAGGGACCTCACGCGTTCTTGTAATGCCGAAGGCACGAATATTCCTTTCCGTCTTATCTCACCAGCATTATCCCGCTGCAGCTGAAGCAAGACCAATAATATATCAGCCCTGAACGGGTTACGTGTGCAAGTTATCCTCCAACTTTGGACTCGCAATATCCTGTTCAATCCCATCTCATCGGCATTGTTCTGCTATAGCGAGGGCCTTTGAAGCTCGTAAGATCAGGCACCCGCTCATCGATCATGCGTGATACCCACATGTTGACCTCGCAAGTCGCGAGTCTCACGGCGCGATATCCGGTTCCATCTCATCCTATTGACGTGATTTGGCTATAGCTAGAGCCTATGAAGCCAGAAAAATTAGTAACAGCTCAGTTCAGTAACGCGTGACACGAGGGGCACCCGCACGTTAGGGTACCCTCACGAGCGCAAAGCTGGGATATCGCGAGGACTGAAGAGACATTCCATTTGGTCCAGTATACAAAAAGAAACGTAATAAATGCTTCCATTGCCCTCTTCTGAGTATCCCGGAATGTTCCCGCAGCTTCTGGCTATGTATCTCTATATAGAAACCCTCATTGCTGTCATAATACAAATTTTGGTTCTCAAGAACTTTGGCCCAGCTTTCAGTAGGTAGCGTGAATTCGGTTCTGTCGTACCTAGGTAAGGTACTGCAGCTCAACGTCACATACGAAAACACTGCCAATAGACAAAGCTTAGAAGGCTCTCTAACTAACACTTCTTAAAGTCTGAATGGAGATTGCGGCAAGATTCATGTGTGTTTTATTCTAGCGGTGAGACTGAGACATGCTTGCCTACACCACATCCTAGCCCAATGCCATTGTTCTTACACAGTCTTGGCTCGACAAAGTTTGTGATTAGGGGTTGGCTATTCTGAAGAGTCTCGGGATCTCCCAACAGTGGGCTCCGGAGCCATGGATACAAAGGAGAACTGGCGAATGAGGAATTATTACTCAGACTCGCGCATGACTGATTGGGAACCTAATGGTATAACAGTGGAAATGATTGGGTAGGTAGAAAGGGTTCTGGCCATCCGAACAGAACTTAGCCGTTGTACTCCCAGTCTTTGCCTTGCCATCCGCCAACAACTCTTGAGTCTTTGATGAACTATATCCAAATTTTACCTGGAGAATACATGAATTTACTCTCTAGCAGTGTTGCACTGAATTGCAATAAATACCAGCTTGAACTGAAGCGAATCCCCCCAGCAATCTGCATCACCTGTGTTCGGGGCGCACACCTCAGGTGTTGTGACTGGCCCTCCCAAACAGCAGGCCCTTGCATAATCCTACTAGCAATCAACCCATTTGATACAAAGACTGCAAATCATGGCTCATCTGATATTAAGGGCTTTTTTGGCGCTGCTATCCCCCTTGAGCATTGCAGTACACTAAGATGATATAAAAGAATTGGGTGAGGGTTAGAGTCACCGGTTACCCTTTTCCCATGTGGATCCTTTGTTTACTCCCGTTTACAGCTGATTCAGGAATCACACACGCTAACAAAAAAAACCGCACCACCAATCCCACAACAACCACACAACAGCTCCGAACGCAATCCGAACCTCAAGCATTTACCCCAACTCTCTTCACAGCAAACTTCTCCTTTCTCCTCACTTCCCTCCCGTTCTCAAGCACCCTCATAACCTCCCTCCCCACCCCTTCCTCCAGCCCTGCGGCTCTAACCACCTCCGCCGGCGTGCCCATCACCGCACTATCCAATCCCCCAAACGCCTCTCGCGATCGTATGCTCACATCAGCGCCCATCCTCACCAACCACGCGACCGTCTCGACCTGTCCCATCCGTGCCGCAACATGCAGCGCCGTATTGCCCTTGTCATTCTGCGCGTTGATATCGGCGCCGCAGCAGCCTAGCAAGTATGCAGCGCAAAGAGTTTGGCCCCGGGCGCACGCGACGTAGAATGCCGTGCTGCCTGATTTGTTGCGATGGTGCGGGTGGGCGTGGTGTTTGTGAATCAGGACGGGGAGGAGGAAGTCGTGGCCGTGTTCGGCGGCTAGCATGAGTGGGGTTGTGCCGGAGTTGTCCTGGGCGTTTATGTCCAGCGGGTGGTGGTGGGGGTGGCATTTAGTGAGGAGGGCGGTGAGGCACGGTTCATTGCCTCCGCGGGCCGCGTAATGTAAGGGTGTTTGGCCGGCTGAGTCGGTGATGAGTGGGTTGGCGTTGTGGGCTAGTAAGAGGGAAAGGAGGGGGAGATTGTTCGTGAGACAGGCGTAGTGGAGGAGAGTTTGATTTGTGGTTGGGTGCTGGGTGTTGGGGTTTGCGTTGGCGGCGAGGAGGATGGAGACGCCTTCAAGGGAGGGCTCAGATTTGGACGATGCAGCTGCTGCCATCGCCCATAGGACTGTTGGATGGTCGGGATCACGAGTGGGACGGTTTATCTGCAACTCAGCCCCAAGGCGGAGCAGCAGTTTGACGGCATCGATCTGGCCTTTCCGGGCGGCGAACCACAGGGGGGTGCGGTCTCCAGAGTCGAGGATGAGGCGTCTTCCCGTTCCCTCCGGTGTTTGCCCCGTTGTCAACATGACCTCGAGATCCTGCAAGTGTCCCCGGGCAGCCGCGTCATGGATCGGCGTGTAGTGGTCTTTGACCGTTCCTAGCGCCGGATCTGCAGCTGTTCCCTGCCTGTTTGGACGGAGAAGGACACGCAACACGTTCGTGTCATAGGGCTGGATCTCACGATCACTGCGGCGGACCGCGTTCATTAGGGGCGTCCTGCCTGCCGTATCGTAGGCGTTTAGGTCGGCGCCATTGTGGATGAGAACTTGGACCACGGCGTAGAGGTTCTCCCTGGCGGCGTGGTGTAGAGGGGTCCGCTCTTGCCGGTCAGCAAGCAGTATGTTTGCTCCTCGCCGAATTAGCGCTAGAGCAACAACTGCATGGCGGTGGGAGATGGCCAGCGTGAGTGGCGTGTCCTCGTCCCAGCCACAGCAATCGATCCTGGCCCCGTGTGTGATGAGAAAGTTGACCATGGCAAGATCACCTCGCTTGGTAGCAAGGTGTAGGGGAGAGAGCTCCCTACCCCTGACTGTCACATGGCAGTTGGGAGAGACATGCTGGAGCAGAGTCTCTAGCTTAGCTTTGTTCCCATCTCTCACGGCCCTGGCGATATTCTGCTGGGCCTCAAAATCAGGAACAGGCAAAGACTCGTTAGACTCTCGACGCGGCAAGAATTGCCTCAAGAAAGTAGCCACCAGTATGTCGTCGTCAGAAGCTCGGCGATCCGGGGTTTGGCTGTTGCGTTGCTGGTGTCAACAATCTGCAGAAATGGGATGGATGGGCCTCGATCAGATTCTCTTGTTACGTACCATTTAAGACTGTTGTGAACCAACTCCAGCTGCATACGTTTTGATACGATGCTCTGATCCATCCGTTCCAAGTACGACATCCTCCATGCTACTTGGCCTCTCGCTATCAGCCTCCCAATCCTCGTTTCCGGACGGCCGGGGCCACCAAGGGCCTCAAGCTCGTCTGTTAGGGCGTTGACATCGGCTTGTAGTTGTGTCACATTGTCCCTGAGAATATTCCTCAGGTTTACGGTGGCATCAGGGTTCCCATCGCCTTCGATGAGGAGCGTCGGGGGCTCCCTTGCCGATGCAAGTTGTTGTCTGATATATTGGAGGACACTGTGGGTCAGCACCAAGTCGTTTCTGATCACGGCCACCCTCCGTTCCGCATTGGTAAAGTCGTCCAGAAGAGAAATGGCCCGTTGGAGCGCGTCGATGAGGGTGATGATGGCTGTGGTAATGGTCACTGGGTCAACCGCCATCGTGTTGGAGATATTGCTGATGGTTGCTACAAGAGTGGAGAGGATTGGTCTGTCATGTCTCGGAATAGGAAGATGCACGTACTGTGGGCCTCTCCAGACAATTGGTAACGGTCTGGGATAATATGCCGGGGGTATCTGGGGCACCAGGCTGCCTCACCTGGAACTGTGTGCTCTTGTGTAACTTCATCTGCCCAGTTCTGCACAATGTCCCGCAGCTAAGGAGCCCTATTTCATCCTTCAACCTGATTGGTAAGTCATCATGCGGGGGGCGAACCGCAGACTCACCCTTCTCGGCGCTACGTCGGCACCCAGCCACTTGAGCCCGATAGCATGTAGACACCCACGGTCTGGAAACAACTGATCCCGTGGCCCACAACCCCTCCGTGCCGGGGGTAGTTGCTGGCCACGCGCGTTGCCGGAACAAAGACGCCGCTCTGTAACATCACAAATGAAGGTATCTTCCTCGATCTTAGGGGCGTTTTACCATTTTCGAGGAGCTCAAAGGTAGAGGTGCACTCCAGCGTTCTCCTGCTGAGGGTTACTCTTCTCTAAACCAGTCTCAGACAAACTTGCTAGGGCAGTTTCCGCATCAAACCTGAGCGCTTCAAGGCGCTGTCCCCTGTGTTGCTGCAATGTAAACTGGGTTCATTATTGCGATCCTCCTCCTCAGAGTCCTCGCCGATATTCCAAGAATATTCTTGAAAAGGGCACACGACACAAGACTTTCAGTTTCTTATCGTCAGTTGAGCTGATCAGAAAATGCTAACTCCCACCACGCGTGTTTCCCGACTTCCAGGAGAGCTACCTCCAGCCGGCGGAAGCCCTTCGCTAGGGAAGGAGGGTAGGCCAGCAAATCTTTCACCCCGCATCTCACGCATATGGTTAGCGGCGGGCCGCCATACTGGATCATCCACGGTGCTTGATAGGTTGCTGCTTCGGCGAGGAGATGTTGGGCGTGATGGTGTATGTTGAGAGTTCTCCTCCGGTCCCATACCTGACATTACTGGATTTTGCACACCTGGAGGCGTTGGTGCTGGAACCGAAGGTTCTGCTGCCTCCTCTCCCGTGTCCGCCACGGGCCGGAACCGCCGGTACAGCCGGTAGAGCGCGTGCGCGACTAAGCAAACTATGAGGAACCCCAGGACACTGCCAACGACAATCAAGCCCTTGTCTGAGAGACTTAGACCGGGTGTGCAGGTCAATGAAGAGACGGGAACTGGCGAGGCCACTTCAAGGGCTTGCGGAGCGAGCCTGAAGATGCCCGACTCTTCGTCAACGAAAAGGTACACCTGTTTCGCGCCCTGGTTAGCCAGATGCAAACGTCAAAAAAGACGTCGACACTACACCGAGCTGCGAAGAATTACCTGGGATAGAAAGGCTTTGCCTAGAACTGGGGCGAATCCGGGGGCTTCCCTGCCGTAGACCTGGAGCTCGGTGAAATCTTGGTCAAGAACCGGCATGCCCTCCTGGTCGAGGCCCCTAAGTGGCCGTTGCATCTCATGAACAGGAATGTCAACAGTAAAACCACCCTTCAGTATGATCCGCATGGATCCATTGAACGAGAGGGCGGCGCTTCTGGGGTAGACCAGACCGGGTTCCAGATTGGCGATTTTGTGTTGGTACTCGTTCGGAGGCACCGGCGGGTCCTGGTGCTGTGTCACGCTTGCAAAGAATCTCCTCAATTGATCGAGCGTGTTGTTAGGGAGGCGGAAGAGGTTGTCATAGCTGAGCATTTCGCCCGTCAACGAATGAATCGCCATGGAGAATCTGACAGAGGCCAGTCACTCACGGTTCAATGCAGAAGTCGAAGGCGTTACCCAGTCCAATAAGCGTTTCAGTCCTCCTGTCCGTGTCGTTTCCAGCCGTTAAACTCAGGCCTTCAACCTGCACCCGAAGCGGACACAGCCGGTTATTCAGTTTGTCTGTCGATATGTTGTACTCTACGGCGGCGGAACTGCCAAAGCTGGCCCGATCATAACCCCCAAGCACCAGGCTGCCACGCCTGGGGAATTCGACACTCTGTGAGCCGGCGTTAAGTCCGAAGGACCGTGCAGCGATCAACCCCCGGTCCTTGAGCGTTCGAAGGAAAGCTGAGCCAGACGCAAGACCGAGATGCGACGCGGTAGATTGCTGGCCGGTGGTGATCAATCCAACAACCATAGCCACTCGCTCGTCGAAAACCTTGAGGGTCGCCAGTGCAGCCGCGCTAATCTCATTTCCGAGTGCTCTCCAGTTGGGGTTCGTACTATCCAGACCGTCGGTTGGAGCACTGGGCAGAGACTGCAACTGAGAAATGAAACCTCCACGTCTGGAGCGGCATCGGGCAGGCGTCATCGTCACCCCCTCTGCGTCTTTGAGTTCTTCGCCACTGCAGAGCGCCTCGGTGGTCAGAAACGAGTGAGTCACTACCGTAGAAGGAACGACACAGAGATCGTCAACGCCGTCGATCGACATCCGGATGCCCCAGCTGTATACGTCTTCCCGGTTAGGCGACGGTATGGTGCAGTTTCCAAGCGAGAAGTGAATCGTCGGCGATGAGGTACATGGCGCCAAAGTCAAAGCCGGGGCGAGAAGGAAGCCAAGAATAAAGAACAGGTTTCTGGATTGTGAGAGCATGGTAGTAGCAGAGCCGTAGTGTAGATAACTCTTTGAAAAAGTTAAGGAAACCGGTACCATAACATCTAGACGATGAGAGACAGAGCGAGTTGCGGAGAGGGGCATCGAGATGAGGCCCAGACTTCAAAGCGATCCCACCCATACCTCAAACATCTTCTCTCTGCGTGCGGCGGCCGAAGCATTGCACCAATGCCAAGGGTGCCTCTTCAACGCCACCGGATCACTTCTGTAGCAACGCGGGGCTGTGCGCGATAGATGCGCGGGGACGGCGACCCCCTAAACGCAGCCGTGCAAGGTGTGTGTGCTGCAGGCGTCGATGGTCCTGAGGTCGGGCACCGAATCCGATCCGTCCAAGGCTGCATGGCGAGGAAATGAGGCAGCAGAGGCTAATGGTGGTGTCTGGAGAGCGCACCTCAAAGTGACAAGGCTGTGACCATGGTGGTGTGGGGGAAGCGAGTGATGAGAGCGACGAAGGCCCGAATGTGCATCAACAAACCTATCCAAAAGCGACGTTGACAGCTCCGTCTAGAACAGGGCAAGGGTCACATGGCTTGGTAGACTGACGTTCTCGCTCGTCTTCTGCAGGTTTTTGGGAACAGGCAGGCAGCCCTGCAGTGGTCAAGAAAACAGAAAAGCGGGGAAGCCATCTGATTGCCCGGGCAATCACGGTACCAAAATCTGCGATAATGGCCTGCCGCAGCTGGAAGTTCCGAACAGGAAGAGACCGAGATTTGCCAATGAGTGCCCATCTGTCGTCAATCACATTCCCTTCCGGGCCGACCTTTTCGGCCAGCCCTCGGAGGATGTCGATGAAGGAGAGGTTGCTTTTCAGGGTTTCTGGATCGCGCATGCGCCATGTGGAAGCTGTGGGCCTGGTCCACCTGCCGACCCGAGATCTGATCCACCGCAGCGGGAAACCTCGCATCGCCCACACGCACAGTGCCAGACGGGAGAATCGGAGCCAGGCAAGAAAGCATCAGCTGTCGTCAAAGCAGGGCGCTTCTTAGTCTGGTCGTGCGCTCGCCTTCACAGCCGTAACATACGTACTCCTTACCTTTACTCCCTCCCCCACGGAGCGGCGAATGGCAGCTGACATGGACGCGGCTCAGGTCCAGGACCTGGCGCGTCACGCGACCACCAAAACGCCATTCCCAGTTCCGGTGCCACGACGGCGGCCTACAGTCCGAGAAGCTATCGCCAGGTCTTTAATCTGGGTTTCCTTGTGGTCCATCTTTTATTACTCCACCATCCCGTTTATCCGCTCTCACCTCCCATTCCATCACGCCCATGACCATGAGCGCGACCATGGCTCTATCACCTCGCCATGCCAAACTCCCGCTCTCACATACCCCGGCGAGCGCATCGCCTGGACCCCTTGTGGTGACCTCGCCAATCGCACCCTCGAGTGCGCCAACCTGACGGTGCCCATGGACCACTTCATCGCCACCAACAACCTCCCCGACGACAAGTTCTTCACCATCCCCTTGATCCGGTTGCGCAGTCCAAACGCCACTCAGACCACCCGCAACCTGCTCCTCAACCCAGGCGGCCCAGGCGCATCAGGAACGGAGCTCGTCTATCGCCGAGGCGCCCAGGTAGCAGCCATTGTCGGCGACGGTTTCCACCTCGTCGGCTTCGACCCCCGCGGCGTCAACCAATCCACCCCGCTAGCAACCTGCTACCCCACCGTCGAAGCCCGCCGGGAGCTGTCGACCGTGCGCGACAAGAAGCTGGTCGAGGACAGCGGCGAGCTGTGGGCGTGGACGGCCAACTTTGTGCGGGCCTGCGCCGACACCATGGGCGAGCACGGCAAGTACGTCAACACGCCGCAGACGGCGGCCGACATGAACTTGATCCTCGACGCCCTGGGCCAGGAGGGCATGTACTACTGGGGTTTTAGTTATGGCACGCTGCTGGGGCAGACGTACGCGACCATGTTCCCTGAGCGGGCGGAGAGGGTCATCATTGATGGCGTGGCCAACCAATTCGATTGGTACGAGGCCCTGTTGGACGGCGAGATGATGACGGATACGGACCGCGTGTTTGAAGGGTTTATCGAGGAGTGCGTCAAGGCTGGGGAGGAAGACTGCGCGTTGGCGGGGCTGGCCGAGACGAAGGAGGAGCTGTGGCAGAAGGTGGTGGAGGGATTGGGAAAGCTGAAAGACGATCCGATCCCGGTCTATGTCAATAACACCGTGTATGGTGTGTTGGACTACTGGACCGTCTGGAATAACGGGGTGTTTCCGGCCCTGTATAAGCCGGCGAATTGGCGGGACCTCGCGAGCAACCTGGCCGCCCTGCTCCGTGGCAACGGCACTGCTGCCTTTTTGGACTACCAGGATAAGGCCTGGGAAAGCGTTGGGGACGCGCTCGAGTTTATCGCTCTCAACGATGGCACTTCTGGGCCAGCCTACTGGTCCGTGGATCGACGGGGGCTGGTGGACCTTCTTCAACCCTACTTCAACCAGTCCATGTTTGCCGAAACCGAGTTGGATTTTTACTTTCCCAAGTCGGCCTGGTCCATTCCACGCACACACAACTACATTCCCAAGCGGAATGTTACCACAGCGCACCCGCTGTTGCTGCTCTCGACAACTTATGACCCAGTTTGCCCGCTGATATCAGCACGGTCGGCGAGCGACGCGTTTGAGGGTTCTCGCATTGTCGAGGTGAAAGGGTACGGCCACTGCTCACCTGCTATACCATCCTTGTGCGTGGCGCGCCATGTGCGCAACTATTTATACGAGGGGAAACTGCCAGATTCCCATGTGCAGTGCGATCCGGATGGGAAGCCGTACTTCTCTAAGCCAGATGATACACTGGCTTTCATGGACACTTTGGTTCTTGGGAACGAGGAGCGGCGTATCGTTATTGCGCAGCAAGAACTCGCCAGAGACTCGTGGCCGATGGCATGGAGAAGATAGTAAACTTGGCATTTGCAATTATGTTGCTTACCTGTAGTCAATCTATCTCTTTACCATGCTTGTACATGACCACACCTCCAGAATCCGGGCGCCTTCGAGGTAACTTGGTACCCAGCTGCTTAAGTCAATGCGTGGCCACTCAGGTTGCGAGGAAGATTGTTCGGTTAAGGAAACCGGAGAATGAACATACCTGCTAACGTAGCTTTCACTGTATTAGTACCCATACTGTTTGGGAGTTCGTAGGGGCTGCGCAATATAGCAGTAAAAACATAATCCGCTGCTTATGAACTTCCGATCACCATTTATAGCTGCCGTTCACCATGTGTGCATCCGTCCGTAGATTTCGATGGTTATATTGAACCCAGAGTTGATGCAGGGATGAGGATGGTACCAGAACTGACAGCTACTGGGGATTATGAGATATCATATCATGGGCAGGCTCCTAGCTGGTATACCGCGACTTCTGCACTCTGGGGGTCCCCAGTCCAGGAAGAGTAGGGTAGGAACTTGATGAGGGGTGGGGAAGGAAACGGCAAGCATTCTATCAGGATAAACTACGGCACAAAAGAGGTACGCACAAGGAGATCGCATATGTATTGATCAAGGTAGGTAAATTACAGAGCACCTTGGGATGCTTATTGCCTCAGACCATCCGAAATTGCCGGTCCAACCAGCCGCTGACCAAACCGCAGACGGGGAAAGACTAACGTTAGCTTTGTCCGCCAAGCAAAGCTCGAGACCCGACCACTTCGACAGCATGATAGTTCCGGAGTACCTAATTAGGTCCACTCGGAGCGCTAGACTAGGCGTTCTTACAGAACCGCTCGGTAAGGGAAATATATCATGCTTCCCTTCACTTGGTATTCATGACCCCATCTCAACCGCGTCCACAGCCCCTTTCGGAAAGGTATCCATGCCAGACACCAAGACCAGCCGAGTATGCTGAGCGCACTCCTCCCACGACGGATGGACAAAAGATGCGCCGCTCCCCAAAGGAATCTGATTCTTCGAGTGTTGCCAGGTGGTGAAGCAAGAGAAACTGGTCACTGGAGCAGGAGACCAAAACCCAGGATGCGACGCTGCAGATGATGAGGTGACAGAGCGCAGCCCCAATTCGCCAAATGCACCCAAATTTGCTGACCGGTGACAGGCTTTCTCCTGGGGCTGAAGAGAAACGTTTCCAGAAGTATTTTGGGCTGGTTGTGGCGCCATGGATGGCGCGTTGTCCAATATCCAAGCCGACAGCACCCACGTGGTGGCGTGTGCGGCCCCGGATTGGGTACAGGACCACGCGGATGAAGCTCCGGGGTATGGCCCCTGACGAAGGCTTCGAACAGGACCGTGCAGCCAGCAGTTCCCAATGAGCCTACATAGACGTGGCCTTCCCATGGTACCGGGCGCATAGCTCAACCTGGGGGAAACGGAGTGTGACTCCCGTCGCTTGCGGCTCCCAGGCCATAACTATTCGGGTTACCACCTCCTCCTGCGCCTCGCACCCTGATCAATGTATCGGCTATCGCTAGGCGCCCTTGAGGCTCGCTTCCGGTTTCCTGAGCAGAGTAGGGCAATTTCAGGAGCTGAATGTAGAATAAATATTTGGTGGAAGTCCACTCGACTTGGCCTACTGCGTTGATCACAACATCCGCAATATATTTATTTATTTACATTGGGCTCTCTTGTACATTCTGCAGCGACTGAGACGAAAGAATGGGCGGACTCTCGCTGAACCCGCTGGTTGCTGGGCTCGTCGTCGCGGCGCGTCTGGTTGCCGCCGTGGACCTGAAAACATGCAAAGCAGACATCCAGCAACGCCTCGACAACAACACATTATCACGCAATGACACCATTTTCTACTTCAACGGCACGAGTTACATGTCCGGGCCAATCGACATCTGGCTCACTCTCCCGGGATGCCAGACGACGTGTCCGAACCCAAACATCGACCTCTACGACGACATGTGGCCACGGCTCCTGACCTGGCTTGTGCCCGCCCTTCTTCTGGTCGGGAGCGTCCATCTCCCGCGCATCGGCCACCTCAACCGCATCTTTGTGATTCTTCACTTCATGGGAGACCCCATCGACTCCATGTGGGCGCTGCTCACCAAGGGCGAAGTCTGGAACCGCTTCTACTCTCTCGCCCTACGACGCACCTTAGCAGGCCCGGACCAAGAGCCCATGGCAAAGGCTCTTGCCGTGATGCTTTCAGCCTTCGAGGAGCTAACGGGCGACATGGCGACTGTGGAGGAGGAGTTCAACGCCATCATGACCGAGAACGGGGCGCAGCTGTCTAAGGAGGACTTGGATTATATCTTGAAAGAGACAGCCGAGGAACTGGTTGACAGCCGCTCAAACGAGGGCCTCCGCACTATTCTGGTGATTGTCAATTATCTCTGGGCAGTCCTCGCCGCTCTTGTCCCCGAGATTGGCGGCACACAGTCCAGCCAGCCCGGTGGTCGAATCGGCACTGCCATGTTTCTCTCGTGGCTGGTCACGGCCGTCCTTCTCAGCAACACCCTCTCGGGCTTCACCTCGCGACGGACCTGTCTCCGGATCATGGAACGCTACACGAGAACGCTCAAAGGCAAGAAACGCGATATGCACTTCTTTCCTTACAGCCCTCGCATCCTCGCCCAGGCCAAACGAGGCAAGGTCGACGACTTCATCGACGCCCAACCGTGGAACGGCAGCGTCTACAGCTACCGTCCCCGCAAGCGCCTCACCTGCAGCAGTGGCAAGGGGGACTGGTCCCCAGCCTTCCTGCTCGCCCTCTCCACCATGCCCGTCATTATCGCCGCCGTGTCAGCTTTCGTCATCATCTGGTTCACGCCGACCATCGGCCTCGGCTGCCGCACGCTGTGGGTCATTGCCCTGACAGCGGGCCTCTTCATCAGCCCGATCCTGACCTGGGCCATCTCGCGTACCGTCCACCGGGGCAGGACGGCGTGGTACGCCACCATCGCCAAGGACGCCGTGTTCGGCGCGACGGGCGTACTCGTCATCCTGCTCTCGTCCATCGGTATCTTCAACACGTGCTGGTGCTGGAGCGGCGTCTACTCACGCGGCCTCGCGGGCGCCTACATCGACCTCGAGCCCGAGGACGAGCGCCTCTACAACGCCCACCACCTGTACCCAGCCATGGTCGGGACGTGTCTGGCGCTGCAGGTCGTGACGTACGTGGTGATGCACCGCGTCATGAAGCCTGGTGGGATTGTCTTCCGGCCGCGCGAGGAGGAGAAGATGGAGCAGTACAGGGCGATTCACGGGCTGACGGGGTCGCCGGATATTGAGATGAAGGGGCCAGCGGCAAGGGGGAGGGCGGTTGGTGGGGATAGGAGGGAGAGTGAGGCTGCGCCGTTGCTGCTGCCGCCGGCCGCTCTGGGCAGTCCGCACGGGAGTCCGCTGTTGAGACCGCGGGCGGGGTCGCATACGTCGCTGAGGTCGTCGGGGGGCGTTGAGGACGAGTGGAGGCGGGGGAACACACCTTCACCATCGGCATCGTCGAGGCAAGGCTTGTTGGGCTCGCCGCCAGAGGAGAGGATGGGGTCTAGTTTCAGATTTCTCGGAGCGCATCCAGCGTGATCGTGTACAGTTAAGGCAGTGTAGGTTGTGTATTTTAGCAAAGGCTGATAGAAGTTGTGAGACTTATATGTAACTTACTACTTACTAAGACACCCAAATTGGCACACCCCAGAGTACCACTTAACTACCTGATTAAATTCTCTACACCGTCTTATGTGCTGTCAGAATGGTATACTTTTCGTACGGCGCCTACTGTGGGGTAGAAAATATGTGATCAATTTGCTGGTATCACGCATAGGGTATGGTATGTATGATAAACAACTGGGATTCAGTGCTATCAAGGACATATGAGGTGCCACCAACTACTTCGGCAGCTTGATTACCAGTCTAATAATCCATTTGGATTAATCCTGAGGACGATTACTGATTTTCTGCGCAGGCACGTATGATCATATCAAACTCCGTTGGCGAGATCCAGCACCATCTTATTGACCTTCTGGCAGCGAGCGTCCAAGTCGGCAGGGAGCGGCATGGTGTCAAACTCCGTGGCCGTGACGTTGGTGATCTTTTTATCCCGCCCGTAATGCGGCCAATCAATCCTGCATCCGTAGAGGAAGTTCAACAGATTCTTTCGAAACACCACAGTGGCTTGAACGTCCTCGGCAGGAGTTGTCTCCTGATCGGCATAGAAAATATCTTGGATCATGCTTCTGTTAGTTCGCCGGGGGTATTGTGCAACAGTTTGCGGAGAGTGCGCTGGGCTTACAACTCAAATCCTGTCCGTGAACTGCCGGTGGCGCAGAGAAAATGTACCGCCGTGCCCGATCCTGATATGCGTTGGCAATGTTTGCGGCATTGCAGGCGAAGATCACGTCCGTTGTCCAGTCCCAAGCCAACCTTGCCGGGTTGCCAGCGAAATCATACATGGACTGCATGTCGGTGATGGTCTTTTTGCTTGCAGTGGTGAAAATTTGTCGGACAAGAAACGGAAAGTTCTCGGGCATGCCGACATCGAACGAGAGTCCCATGCCCTGTACATGGTAAGGTGGACTTAGTAGACTGCATGTGACCTAGGAGGAAGGGCGGCGGGGTTCATACTTCATTGGCGACATTGCCCAAGACTAGAGATTTAAGTTCCTTATGGAAATCACCCCGCTGGAAGAGAGCCTGGGGCGTGTCCGGGATGAAGCTACCGTCCGGAACTGGCCCAAAGCCGGGCACTGGGCCAAAAAGGCCGGGACCGCTCTCTGACGGCAACACGTTAATGAACAGGTGGTTAAGACGGAGCAGTTCTTGTTCCGGCAGCGATCTGAGGCAATCCAGCGAAGTGCAGTCTGCTGCGTCGAGGATCAGCTGGAACATTCTCCGTTGTCGCTCTACCGTATTCCTTCGCGGGGGGATGTCGGGAGAGGACGCCCACGCCTAGTGATGGGTCAGTGTTGAAGTCTGCTTCTAATGAAATAGGAAACGCTTGCCTGCTGGAAAGGAAGCTTGCCCTTCCCGCCGTCAAGAACGGTAAGGAGCCCGATGATTCCTGCGCCAGCACTCTGGCCGAGTACTGTGACACGACGGGGGTCTCCGCCGAAGCGACGGATGTACTCGGACGTCCATCCAACGGCCGCGAGACAGTCATGCATTCCGAGGTTGGCCGTCATGTCCTCGCCGGGCATGTATGTCCAGCCTGGCAAACCAAGTCTGCGGAGTCATAAACTCGTCAGTATGTCAATGTACACCTGGAAGAACACGGCGACTGACCTATAGTTGTTGGCCACAAAGATGAATTTCCTGTCATCATCCATGACGTCAAACAAACCCAAGGGGCTGAAGAACATCTCCTTGCTGCCAAACGCAAAGGCGCTGCCGACAAAGTAGTGCAAAACGGGCACGTTATCACCCGGCTTGACGTTGTCGGGAACGTACACATCAAGAAACAAGCAGTCTTCGCGGCCCCAGGTCGTTCCGTTGTACGGCGGGAAGGGCGCGCCAGGATGGGCAGACGATATGCAATGGTTCTCGGAGTCAGGGACGTTGCCATCTTGGATTCCGGGGACTTTAGGGAGCCGCGTGTCGGGAAGACGGAACCGCAGGTTGCCGGTTGGGGAGTTGGCGAAGCGGATGTTTTTGTAAACCGACACCTTGCGTCCGGACGCGGTTGTGTTGACATACGTCGGCACATGTTTGGCGTATCCGAGATCGACCAGGCCGGCGGGCTTGGACCTGGCGTCTACCGATGGGAAAGGGGCCAGGATACCGAGAAAGAAGATGAGAAATCTCCACAATGCCGGCATGGCTGCTGCTGGCAGAAATAATGTATGGATATCACGGAATGAGCGAAAAGATCTGGTTAGCGAGACTTGACTATCGAGGAACCACCTTGGTGCTCAGGATGTTGAGACAAGCGAGGTAGGAAGCACACGATTTATACTTCCTGCGCACGGCGTGATCTTGAGACCACTTCTCAAGTCTTATTTAGGATGCACCCTCGTTTGCCACTCTAGGAAAGATTTGACGGCTTTATGAAGTTTCGCTGGCAGGCAAGGCTATGCATGCCCGCGCTTGAGGGCCCATGTTTTACGGCCCTGACAACTGTCAACGGGGTCCCCTACGTCTCGTTTACGCTTTCTATCCAATGGTGCCCTGTACGTCCCAATGACACTCCATTCTTTGCACACTCAGTCTCCACGTGCAAACCATGGCTCCGGATCTTCTACGGCGACCTATGTACCCTAGGGAATCAAGGGAACTGCCAAGACATACATGACGACCCATCACTAACCCAATAAGGTAAACGAGCAAGAGACTATCCGCGGCGCGGCGGAGTCCAAGATTGACGAGAACGCTGGCGACCACAATTTGTCAATCCCTCCGAATCCGACCTACGAACGACGGACATTATACTGGCTACCTGGAACAAACCGGGCCAAATTTCGCTGACTTCTCAGCAAACTAAGCATCGCAATGCCATGATTACCAGCGCGATCGGTCTCAATATCTTGGACTCGTTTACCTACAATTGCCTAAGTGGTTACAAAACGATTGCCGGACACAGTACGCTCGTCCGGCAATAGCTGGATAATTCAAGAATATGCAGGCGAAAACGACGAGCCCCAAGTTTCTCGTTTTGATGGTCAGTGGATCCAGTCCGAAGGTGAAGGAATATAAGAGACGACGGCACCACACCAAGGACCGTTTGGGTTGTCTATTTTGCAGACAGAAGCGAGTCAAGGTATAGTGCCCGTGTCTGAGTGATGCTCGAGGTCCGAATAACGCAAGTGCGGCACCAAGGACCGCCGCAGGTGACAAACTAACATGAATGTCGGTAGTGTGACCGAGGCAAACCCGTATGTGCCCGCTGTGGCCGGTCAGGCGTCGCATGCCGGTACGAAACAAGCTACTCAGCTCCTGTTTCTTCCTCGTCGTCACAGTCGTTGTCAACACCCTTATCAGCATTGCCCACCGTCCTCGTCAACTCGATCCTGCAGCCACGGCTCCTGCACACCGCCGGCCCCAACGCAGCGCGTCAGCTACCCATCCAAGCGCTTCTCCACCACGCCGCGGCACAGGGCGACATCTTAGGCATGCCGCTCACCCCACCGTTCTGGGACCTCGCGTGCCGGCATCCCCACCTGCTCGCCACGGTCCTCGCCCTCGCAGCCTGCCGGCTACGCGGACTGGCTCCGCACGGCGACCGTTCGTACAGCGTGGCCGAGTGCGCGCTTAAGGCGGTCGCGCTCGGCGACTTCCAGCCCGCTCTGGCAGAGCCCCTGACCCAGTCCAAAAGCGACGCTCTACTGTTTACTTCGATGCTGCTCAACAACCTCGCTTTCGCCTCGCTAGCGGATGACGACAAGAACGACGGCTACCCCTGGTGCGGTGTCTCCTTTGCCCCTTCTTTCCTTGACGACACAAGTCGCCAAAGCAGTGACAGCATTACTGGTTGCACTAATCCCCACACGAACCGCAGCCACGGACTTGAATGGCTCGCCCTCGGCATGGGTCTGAAGCCGCTATTGATGGCAACGCAAGCCTTCCGCGGCGCTTACAGCGCCTTGACGCCCATCTTTGCCGCTTCGGACGACGAGAGCGAGACGTTCTCGCGCTCGCATGAAGACCTGGAGGGTGCGCCGGCGCACTGGGTGCGGCTCGTCTCCTCTACGAGGACGAGCAGTGTCGCCTCTGCCGGCAAAGAATGGTGTTTGCGCGAGCCGCTTGGGACGCTGGCCGCCGCTCGGGCGCTCACGCCGGCGCCTGAGAACGGGCTCAAGTATTCGCAGTTCGTGGGAAAGCTGGAGCCCGCGTTCATGGAGCTGTTGTGTGACCGAGATGAGCGAGCCATGTGGATGCTGGGCTACTGGCTGGGCTTGATAGGCCGCCTGGGCGCGTGGTGGTCCGGCGGGCGGGTGCGACGTGACGGCGCCGCGATTCGGTTGTGCTTGCTGGCAAAAGGGGTATGCGAGAGGCAGGGCGAGGAGGGGGAGATGTGGAGGCGGCTGATGCAGGACTATGACTGCGTTTACAGCACAATGTTAGCATAAAGAAACAAGCTTACTCGAGTTTTCACTATATCCGGGTTCCCTTCATGGCTTCATCCTTCAACCTTTGCCTAGCTGGTTCAGGCTCATCAGGATATCGACAACCAGCCGCCCCTCAAGTACGAGGTCTTGTGTCTACCATCACCCCGCTGGGATTCTGGCTCCGTGAATAGATACCTCTCGGATATCTTGGGCGAGGGGGGGCAGCGAACTAACAACATTGCGAGATACACGGTCTGGAGTCTCAGGAACACCGCAACCCCTCCGAACTGGAGCCATGACTCGCGAACAACGCAACAAGCATGAAAGCCGCGGTGGCCCCCAATTTTCACCATCTCTGTTGGCATCAAAAGATACCCAAACCGAGAAGGTGGCTTAAGCCATGAGGAGCCGCACTTGCTCGGCACCGCACTTTTGAGATAAGAGAGGTTGCCAAGCAGACTACGGGTGTCTCGGCTGTAACCGTAGTACCGCGATGAGCCAGAATAGGGAAGTCGAGAAGAAACCGTCCTTGGCAACCCATGCCTTTTCTGTATAGGATCTGCTATGTTGGTTGTTGTGTAGTAATCCGTCGTGTTTGACTGGCCTACACCGACTGACACCTCCTCCTTTCGGAAGGTATCCGGATGACTGCCCACAGTTGCGCGACGGACGTTGCGGATTACATGCTTTTGCAACATCCGCCCTACCTTAACGTCTCTGACAAGATTTGGCCTACATATATCCCTTGATAATGTCCAGCTTCGTCACAGGGCAAAGCCCAGCATTCACCACTCGGGCTTACCGGGTTTTTCCGTCCTCTGACTACTGCTCGCCACTCCATCGCCCAACATGAGGATCAACGCCATTGTAACGGCGGCGGGCGCCTTGGGCGTCTGTGCCGCTTCCGCTGCATCCGCTGGCACCATGGAGAGAGTCATGGAGATCAAGACCAAGGAGTGGGAAGAGGCCAGAGCCAAAGGCCTCTTCGGCGGCTCGGCTAAGTACCGCAAGGTCACCAAGACGAATCGCTGCATCAACGGCGTTGCGACCGATGGCGACTCGGCCTACCGGTGCAACAACGTCAATCTGCACGGCTTCCTCAGCCACGAAGACCTCGGCTCGAGCACCAAAGCCGGCAACGACGTCTGGGGTTGGACATCCCCAACCGGCCGAGAGTTCGGAATCGTCGGACAAACCGACGGCGTTGGCTTCGTCGAGATCACCAAGAACGGCAACCTGGAGTACCTCGGCAGACTGGACACTCAGACTACAGCCACAAGCTGGCGCGACATCAAAGTCATCGGCCACCACGCCTACGTCGGTGCCGAGTCCCCCGATCACGGACTGCAGGTGTTCGACCTGACCAAGCTGCTCGACGTCAAGCCCTGGTGGAACCCCTTCTTCTGGAAGCCCAAGGTCTTCGACAAGACCCGCGACCTCACGGCGCTCTTCACGGGTTTCGGCTCCTCGCACAACATCGTCGCGCACGAAGCCACCAACATGATCTACGCCGTCGGCGGGCGGTCGGGCGCTAACGCGCGCAACACGTCGTGCGCGGGCGGCATGTTCATGGTGGACGTGTCCAACCCCTCCAAGCCCTTCTCCCCGGGCTGCATCCCGCACGACGGCTACGTGCACGACGCGCAGTGCGTTCTCTACACAGGGCCGACCGAGAAGTACCGCGGGCGCGAGATCTGCTTCAACTACAACGAGAAGCGGCTGACCATCATGGACGTGACGGACAAGGCCAACCCCGTCGTCATCTCGCGGACGCCCTACGTCGGGTTCGCCTACACCCACCAGGGCTGGCTCGTCGACGAGACCATGACATTCCTGCTGCTGGACGACGAGCTGGACGAGCGCGACGGCACGAATCCGGGAGCCGACGGACGCACCACGACCTACATCTTCAATGTGACTAACCTGGAGGCGCCGGTCAACACGGGGCATTACAAGAGCCCTGCCAAGTCAATCGACCATAACCAATACGTTGGTGACTCCCTTTTTCTTTGTGCTTCCCTTCTCCCAATGCTAATACGTGAGTAACAGGTGGTCAACGGCTTGACGTACCAAGCCAACTACGGCTCGGGCCTCCGCATCGTGGATGTTTCGGGGGTCGAGCTGGACCCGACCGGTGGCAACTTTGAGGAGGTGGGCTTCTTCGACTGCCACCCCGAGGATGACGACGTGAATGGTGTGGTGGCCTTCCTCGGCACCTGGTCTGTGTACCCGTACTTCAAGTCGGGGTACATCCTGCTCAACTCGATTGAGCGGGGTATCTTCTCATTGAAGTACACGGGCAAGAAGGCGAAGTATTAAGCTTGGCGGGCTACGGCAGTGTTGAGGTAATGACTCGGTAGATGACACAAGTCGTCAGTCCCGAGGATTTGAGGAATACAGCAACCGGATTATCCAGCTACGCAAAGTCCTCGTCTGACCTAGTGTTGTGTTTCAAAGCCGAATGTGTGTTGGGTCAAGTTTGCTTCACCTGGGGGCGAGTGCAAGACGCTGGAGACATGACCCCAAATCCGTGTTGCGAGAAGGATCAGGATCGCATACCCAGAGCACGCTGCCGAAACACCGTCTAGTCATTTTCCTGCTTCCAATCCTAATATCAGCATCCTCATCCCCCACCCACTCAAAACAACCCCAATAGGTCTTCACTCCCCTTGCTCTGCTCCGCAGCCTTTCCGTTCCCATGCCCCAACTGCTGCCCAGGCGGCGGCGGCGCACTATTCCCGCTCAGATCCATGCCCGCAAAGCCACTCATCAAATCACTCAGCCCACCACCAGCGCCAGCAGCGACAGGTCCCCCCTGCGCGGACACTCCCGGCGCCGGTGCATCAAACAAGCCCATGATATCCGCCATCCCACCACTCGGCGCCGCCCCCACCCCATTTGTCCCGACCGGGCTCGCCACCCGGTCGGGCGTACCCGTCCCAGCAGGGTTCTGCTCCGCGCTCGCCGGCGCAGCCCCGTCAAAGTCGATATCCAGGAGGTTCTCAATATTGCTCTGCGCCCCGCCACCGGCCCCCGTGCCGTTCGCGGCGGCGGCAGCCACAGACGCCGCGATGGGGTTCTCGGCAAGGTTCTGGCGCTGCTCCTGGATGGCGGCGCGCTGGATCGCCTCGGCGCCGAAGCGGCCCTTGCCGACGAACGACTCGGGCGGCTTGTGGTAGACCGAGGCGAGCGTGGAGAGTTCGGAGAGGAGCTGTTCTAAGAGTACGGGCGGGAGGCTGGTGACGGTGGTGGTGATGGCTGGTTTTTGCGAAAGTATGATGTTCTGTTGGATGTCAGCAAAGGGGAGGGTCAGTTTGGAGGGAGAGAAGACGCTAACCTTGGCGACGTCGAGATCACCGGAGAGCAGGCGCCAGTAGATGTATGCGCGGTCGCGAATGTCCGGGTTGTCGCTGTCGGCCGTTGCCAGCTGGAGGACCTTTTGCACCAAGCCTTGGTTGTTGCTCGGCTTTTTGAGGAACAACTTCACCACCGCAGTCAGAATTTGTAATTGTGTCTATGGTGCGTCAGCAAATCTCGTCTAAGCTCAGAAAACACGGAGCACGCCTTACCTGGGTGAACTCCTCCTGGAAAAGATCAACAAAGCCGGATAATATGGCATCCGCGTTGCTGATCTTCTCGGCATATTCTCCCACGATCCAGATCAGAGACCCCCGAGCATGCGGCTCGTCCAACTCGTCGATGTACTTGCAGAGGGTGGGAATAACCCCCTCGTAGCCAGGATACTTCCGGAGAATATCCTTGATAACCACAATGACCTCTTGGACAACATAGTTGACCTTGGTCGCGATCAAGTCGAGGAGGGCATTAACGCACGTCTCGCTTGCTGCTTCAATCTTGATGGCCACTTGACCGATAGCCTTGACTGCGCGCTTGACAAAGTCCATGTCGACCTCGAGCGCATACTCCTTCAATTCGGAGAGCAGTTGGTCAAAATTTTTCTCGTTCGCTATCCTGACCATAATCTCAAGCTTCTGGAGCTTGACGTACGGCGGGTCGTTGTACTTGCAGAAGAACACCCTGAGCTCCTTGCTAAGAATGTCCGGCTTCGCCTGCAAGAGGAGATCGATATTTCTGAGAGCAACGTATTGCACTTCAGGGGCGGAGGAAACGAGGGTTACTGAAAAGCGAGGTTAGCGAATGCATGTATGATTGGTTCGAAACTCGCATACCCAGAGGAGGTGCCATCTTTTTCAGATATTGCCTGACCAGCTCGGGGTTGATCAGCTTCATATGGATGAACACCACCTTGACGGCCGCCAGGACGACGCTGGGGTTGACGTGTTGGAACTGGGGCGCAACTCTTTCGCAGATGTGCTCCGACTCCTTGACGTCTGAGGGTGGGTAGTCTGCGAGCGTGGACAGAATGGTCACCCGCCCCCATTCGGTGCACTCATTCAAGGCCATAAGCAGCTTCTTGAGCGTGTTGGGTGTAATGACCAGGGCCTTGGTCTCGGGTGCTGTCTCGCTGATTTCCGACAGTGCCTGGACAGAGTTGGCCACGACCATAGGATTTGGGTCGCCAATCATCTCCTGCAGTATCTCGAGGAAGCCATTCTCAATGCACATAGTTGGGTTGAGGTCGAAGAGCTTGGCCACGCAAATGGCGGCCGTCTTGCGAACGTATGGCGACTCGTCCCGCAGTGTCTTACGCAGCGGCTCCTCCATGTAGTCCACCATCTTGTCGACACGGACGCAGCCCATGGTTCGGATCGCCAGTGCTCGGATTAGGGGGTTCGGGTCTTCTGAGTCTTGTACGAAGGTGTTCACGGCCAGGATGCAGAGGTCCGGGTGCGACTTTGCGTAGTTCCTGCACATGGCCAGTCAGCCGACGCAGGGAGGCGAGGTGTGTTCCTTAGTGACAGAAGAAGCCTACATCAGGTACAGATAGACCAGCTTCTTCTGGTCCAGATCGGACGTCGCGATATTCTTGAGGACATCCGGAAACAGCGCCGACACGTCCTTGCCCAGCGTCATGGCCATGATGGTCTTCTGAATGGCCTCCTTCCGCTCGTGGGCATACTGCGATACCAGGCCCGCCCGCAGCTCGAATGTCTCGCCTTTACGCGGGGGCGCAAAGGCCCCACGGATGCGGTTTACTGCCTGCGCCATCGTTGGAGACTCGGTTCAGTTAGAACGTTGCCGTCAGGCGCGGGGATTCTGTGGAGCGACAACCCAGAACTAAGAAAAGGAGGGGCGGCGAAATGTGCGGTTGGACAAAGGACAGACCCTCCAGCTACCGCGGGCCGCGCCTGTGCACGCACCAGTGAAGGGAACCACTCGTGAACCGCAATTTGTGCTGTTGCGCGAGCCGGACAAAGGTATCGAGATGTTGTCGCAAATGTCGTGCGGCTTCAGGTGTCGCAGCCGCCATCGTTTCCGGGGACGCTCCCAAGAAACGCCCGGCAGTGGCTTGGCTCGCCAGCTTCAGCCACGGTCAAAATAGTGGGTCGGGTGGCTTCGGGGGCGGCTGTAGAAAGTTGCTCTGGCCAGCCGACACTCATTGGATCTTTGTTCGGATCGTTGGACCTGAACCCAAGCAACAAGAGCAAGGAACAAATTATCCCACTTCTCTTGCATCGATATGGTGAGGCTCAAAGTGTTTTGTATGTTGGTAATAATAAAGGCAGTAACTAAAGCCAGGTAGGCCAGTTTTCCTAATCTGCGGCGCCTATTCATCGAGGCAAGAACCGACAGCGAAGAAAGAGACGTCTCGAGAAGGGCTGTAAGTCGCAGCCCATCCATTGCCCGCCAGGAGATTGACTGACACCCAACTCGCCGCAGTTTTACAACGCCGTTCTGTTCCTGGGATCAGTCGCTGTCTTTAGCTTGATTGCTCAGAGAATGAACGCTGCCAAATAAAGTCTACCCCCATGAGTGACGTGAGCATGTTCAACAGGCAATCCATCATCCATCGCCCTTTCATCCATGACAAGCAGTGGATGTCTCAAGGTTGCAACTTTCCCCCGTGCAATTTTGCCCGTCCCAACAAACGCCGGCCAAACTGTTGTTTGATTGCAATAACTGGTCACCAGGATCATCAGTCCCGCTGCAAAATGCTTTTCACGCGGCATTGATACGGTAATTCTTCTATGAGCAGCTTGCTACTAGAAGAATCGCGCGGTCTTCAGGCAAAAACATACTAGGCCTGTTGAGCCGTTGCCTCTGGCAGTAGAGCAAAAGAAACGTCACCTGTAGGATTCGAACCTACGCTCCCGAAGGAACTGCCTAGCGGCTAATTTAGATTAGCAGGGCAGCGCGTTAACCACTCCGCCAAAGTGACTTGTGCCAAATACACAGACCACAGGCAGCTTACAAAGAAAATAACACAGGTGTCCTGACACAACATCGCACCGAGATCGCACGCCAACACGGACATGGAACCTCATGTGAGATTCAAAGGTCAACTAGGCAGTTCAGCGTCCGAAAAGCTAACCACTTAAGTAGAAACTGGGAAAGGAATATTGATGCTGCTTGATGCTGCTTCCCATACATTGTGTAGAAACCCCACTTCAGACGCATGGTGCCAAACATCCTCTTATCCCTCACTCCGATTCGCTCTCATCACCCAAGAATGCCAGTTCAGGCCTATGCCGGGCTGGCCCCTTGCCTTTCACGGCAGGCTTGCCGCCCTCATCGCTCTCCTCACCTCCCTCATCCTCACCCTTTACCTCCTCCTCCTCCTCCCCCCCGTCCTCCTCAATTTCACTCCCTTCATCCTTCAACCCCTTCCTCCTCCCCGTAGCAGCAGCAGAAGCCACCCTCCTCCTTGCGCCCCTCTCTCCACCGCCAACGCCCCAACTCTTCTCCCCCTGCATGACATCCTGCAGATCCGCCTGCAGCTCCCGCATCTCCTTGATCTCGCGCGCCTTGGCCTCGGAGAAGCGCCCGGCCATGCCCACTCCCAATAGCATGTCCTTGAGGTGCTTGATCTTGGCCTTGGGAGTGTCGGCGCCGCACTTTTTGAACTCGAAGGCCCACACCTTGCGCACGCCGCATTTCGAGAGCTGGGATTGCAGGAGCTTAATTTGGGCTTCGTCTGGGGAGTCGGTGGAGGTCAATTTGGAGCCGCGAGATGCTGTGGATTTTGCGGGTGCAGTGTCTTTGGCGTTCTTGCGCTTTCGTTTTGGAGGGGGGGGTTCGTCGATTACGGAGGAGAGTTCGCTTGAGGAGTCGTCGGCGGCGGGCCTGCTGTTGTTGGTTTCTTTGGGAGGAGGGCAAGGTTCGTCTTTGGCTTTGGCTTTTCGCTTGCGCTTGGGCGGCTCGTCGATCACCTCAGCCAGCTCGCTCTCGTCGTCATCTGGGGCGGGATTGGGAGTTTCGTCTTTGTCTGACGTGGGGTTGCTCCCTGAAAATCTATCAGGCACATCCGATAGCTCACTCTCGCTCTCTGTCGGCTGTTTGGAACGCCTTTGCGCAGCAGGCTTCGGAGGTTCTTCGTCACTGCTCTTCTCACTGACGCCCGAAAGGTCTTCCTCGTCGTCGGAAAGGGCATTTTTCTTCACTTGTGTCTTAACAACCCTGCGCCTTTTGGCTCGAGATTGCGGTGCATTCTCCACTTCGCTGGCATCACTGACGGCGAATTCGGCGTCCGACGGGGCCGGTGCCTTCTTGACGCGCTTCTTATGTTGCTTAGGCGCGGCCTTCGCCATTGACTTGGAAGTTGGAGCGGCTTGTTGGGAAGGTTCGGTATCACCAGCCTCGAGCTCTTTCTGAATGGATTAAGTCAGCTACAGTTCTTCGGATCTGACGAACGAGGCATGTATCGCGACGCGACGTACAAGGGTATCAAAAATGATTTCCTTGCTCCTCAACTTCCAGTCGCCTTCCTTCAAGAAACCGTCTGCAAGCTTGAGGCTATCCTCGGTGGTTTGGCGCGCGTAGTTGACGGTCAATTGATCCCTGTTTGGCCCGTTGTAGACTTTGCGCACCACGTCGGCAAGCGCTTTCGCGATGGCTTTGTCTGTTGGCGCCATTATGACTGAATTATGGGGCGGGACTAAGGTAGTGATGTATTTCCGCAAGTAAGAGGGAATTAAGGTGATGATTTGAACTCTCGTAGAGTCGGCCTTGTTTGCTGATTGTATTCGGTAGACCATGTTCATCAGGTCGCGTGTAATCCGACGCGTTGTAAGGTCGGGTGGGGAGGTGAAGTTGGGAAGGTGGGGCCTGGCCGCAACCCTACCCACGCGCCGAGTCCCCTGCCTTCGATATCTCTGAACTACTGTACCTTTAACATCAACGCAACTGCTATACCAACAGTAGATCGGCACGCAGAGTGCAGCGCCCCAAAGAACCAGTTTTCGAGTTTCACAGAGTCCATCAACCGTATATCCGGCCGCTGTCTTACAATCTCCGGGTTAGGGTTGGGCTACAACGTCACAACAACCTCTTCCCATCGCAAAATGCAACTTTGGAGTTTCACCAACTTCGAGGGTCCCGAATTCCATTTGACCCGGATCTTGGCGACAACGGATACACTCAGGAACAAATCATCCCTCCGCAATGATCGACCTTCAACTCCTGCATTCACAAACACACATGCCAGCCCAACATCCATCAGTTTCACCATGGCAACACTCCTTAATACCCCCCTCACTCAACTCCTCCTTCTCTTCACCCTCCACATACACGCCAGCCCCCACCAATCACCGAACCTCCCCTTCGTAATCAACACCTGGGGCGGCGCCTTCACGGCCGCCACTGACGCAGCCTACCTCGCACTCACCACCAACCCTGACAATCTCGAGCCACCCCCCACAGCCCTTGACGCGGTCGAGATTGGCTGCACCACCTGCGAGCAGAACCAATGCGACAACACAGTTGGCTTCGGCGGCTCGCCCGACGAGAACTGTGAGACGACGCTCGACGCCATGATTATGGACGGCACAACCATGAAGTCCGGCGCGGTCGCCGGCCTGCGGCGGATCCGGGACGCCATCTCGGTCGCACGCGCCGTGCTGGAACATACGCGGCATTCATTGCTCATTGGGGATCTGGCGACGCAGTTTGCCGTCCAGATGGGGTTCGGGCCGGAGGAGGATTTGGCGACGGCGCAGAGTCGGGCACGATGTGAGGAGTGGAGGAGGGGAGGTTGTAAGGGGAATTATTGGGTTGATGTCCTGCCTGATCCGGAGATATCCTGCGGGCCGTACCGACCGGCGACTGGGTTGGAATGGTCGGGGGTAGGTGGCGGGGAGGAAGGGCAGGTCTCGCATGACACTATTTCGATGGTGGTGATTGATGGTGCTGGGAGGATGGCTGCTGGGACATCGACAAATGGAGCTGCTTTCAAGATCCCTGGCCGCGTTGGAGACGGTCCGATCGTCGGGAGCGGGTCGTACGTGGACGGAGATGTTGGTGGCTGCGGAGCGACGGGCGACGGGGACATCATGATGCGTTTCTTACCGTGCTACCAAGCGGTGGAGAACTTGAGGCGGGGAATGACTCCAACTGAGGCTGCCGAGGATGCCGTTCGGCGAATGCTTAGAAAGTACCCCAAGACATCGAGCGGGGTGGTGGTTGTGGACAACAAGGGCGAGCACGGCGCGGCAGGGTCAGGATGGATCTTTACCTACGCCTTTCGTAGGGGTCCTATGAATAAGACGGAGGTGGTAAGCATACCTCCGTTGAGCATTGGCTCAGCTGGGGGCGGAGTCGGCATTAGTAGTCCGAGCGACATTTGAGGAGGGTGTGAGGAGACAAACGCTTAATTTTCCGCAAGGTACCCTAACTGGGACTGAGACGACCTTGAATGACGCGAAGCCGATGTTGCGCGGATTAGCCCTACTGACACGGATCACGACTCTTCATCCGCTGAGATTTGCCTTATGCCGACAAGTCTCGATGGGACACCGCGAAGTACCCAAACTGCATGGGGCTTTCCGTTTCACGTCGCCTGCTGGCAAGTCCTGGCAGAAGTCTATTCTCCGGCCACTCCAGATATTCAACGACTGTTCGACATTTGCCGCTCCTTCCCAATCCACTGGGGAAGAATTCTGAACTGGGGTCACGACTACGGGGGTTCTGCCTGCGATATGACCCTGAATATTGAGAAGCTTGCGCCTGGTGAGGATGCTCGGCTCGAGTCCTTCTCGAATATAACAAACCGGGAGAACCTACGAGCAAATCCGCTGGATATATCCGAGATACAACGTATCTTCCAAGAGCCGAACCGAAATGCAGGCCACAGTAGCTCACGGAACCCTACCCGGCTGCCCTCCACAAGCTACGGTACTGTTCGCCACTCCAATGTTTTTGCGTGACTTCCGATCGAAATACTACAGTCCATTCTCACTCATCTTCCAACATTTGCGGTTGGGGTGCTGAGCCAAGTCTCCCGAGTCTATGCCAGTGTTCCATTGCACGAAGGTTTCTGGAAATCTCGTTTCTATCCCCGCCGCGAGTTCGAATCTGTCTTCGAGGTCACTCCCTAATTCTCGAAAGTCGGGGTTCAATGGAAAGCCATCTACTTCTCCGTCAAGGAATTGCGCTCTCGGCCATCCGTAATCAACCGAAAACGAATATGGCAGCTTGCCTCGTCTTTGTGGACTCTGATGTCTCGTGCAGCAGAGGCCAACTGTGATGGGCTTCAACCCGGCACTCTCCTCCAGGCTGAGCCACTAGGCGACGATGCGAACTCGATCACAGCGAGTCGGGCGCTAATATCGAATGAGGAAGACTTCGAGTTTGGGAGGGCGCTCTACGAACGAGCTATCGCCGTGCCTGACGGTGGAACCGCGCTGTACGTTTCGACAATCTACAGTACATATTTGGACGGCGGTACATTTCCGGGACCCGGGGTGCGACAAGACTGCATAGGCTCTTCCACCCTTGGGTACAGACACCCTAGTAATGAGGTTCAACTTGTCACTTGCATGGAACCACCAATTCGCATAGCAGGCTTCTGTCTCGCCCAGGACCTGCGCGGAGTTCGGAGACTGTCTGTTATCTGGGACGATGGAGCCCTGTCTAATTGGGTCGGAGACCATGAAGGCATTCCCCAGAGAAGACTTGTTCTGTCCCCTCATGAGCGGGATATTGTCAAATTCTTGAAAGGCGGGTTCGACGTAAGTGCCCTTCCACGATATCATGATATTCGGATCAACATTTACTCCTTACTAGGCCCTCAAGCTCGTTTCATTATCTGTATCTGCTGTGCGTCAGAGTGGGACAGGAGCTGGCGTCTCTCTCACCGATCGGGACAGGACCCTTTGGTTCCCGGCCGTTCCCCAATCCCACCTGAAGTTCGTTGGTATGCAACACTGGCAGGCTGAGGCCAACAAGGGAAGACTCGGAGCGACCCGTAACGGCGGCCATGTTTGGGGGCTGCGAGGGCCAATATCTACAGCATCTGTCTGACCTCGGTGTCCTAGTCAACTGGGCTAGAATGAACAGGTTGTTGGGCATCGAGCGTTGTTACTCGGACAGCCTCACCCCAGTCCGCCTCGGCCTCTTTGCTGCTTGACCGCACGGATCGGCTTTCCAATTGATGGACGGGGCGGGGAATGGATGAGCTCTGTCGACGTATTCTACACGCCAAGGCATGATTCATATGCAGGGTTTCGGGTAATTCGGCCCCATCTCACGCAGGTCATTGTTGGAAGTTGCCAAGGTAGAAATTGACACCCGCAGATTACCACGAATCGCGGTCGCATATCCAGACCTGTACTTCGGTCAGATGCAGACGAGAATTGCTGCCGGATCGAAGCCATGCAACTTGATGATGGCGGCATGATTGTTGGATTTTGGGCGGTAGTGGCAAGTCAACCCGATACACTAAAGTACCCACCAGCGTAGGGATGGTGCTAACACGCCGTGTGCACAGACAGGCTCTGGGCGCTGCTTAGCATTCGCGGCTGTATGCACGAGGTGGTCCTTCGCGGTTCGTATCATGTACCTTCACTTCCTTGTAGAATGGAATCGAGCTGTGGACTGGGTTTGCGATAGAAATTGTAGCAGAAAGCTGCAGTTGAACTGCAGATATCAGAGTAAAAAACGCACAGACCAGAGCCCCAGAGCGACGTTTGGACATCCACAGGCTTGGCATTCAGGATTCAGGAACACCCCTAGCGCGCCCCACAACGGTGGGGCGCTAATCTGTTTAGACAATCCAATCTCCGTGTCGGGGATGATCTCAGGTCCCCTCGCCCAGGACCCTTCGATTCTTCCTCAACACCAGCGACACCATCCCAGGACGCGAGTCCGTCAATCGCTCTCCGGCGCCCCCGCTGTGCTTCTCCACCATGGTACCATGTCATTCATTCTAATTTTGCGCATGAGATACCGAGTCATTCATTAACTCGAAACACTTACCAACTCGGCATTCCGCCAGCGACGATCCATTCCTTTCGACCGCAGCGACCATGCGCTGCGCCTCTCCTTTCTTTCTAAACGTATGTGCCGCCGCCACGGTGCGCGCGGCCGGGACTGTTTGGGCGACGCCCCATGAAAGCTATTCGTCTTCTGTCGGCGTCCTCGGATGCAAAGTTGACACCAATCGCATCGCCTACTGGCCGGCTTCGGTGGACTGCACCAACATCTGCGTATCGTTGAGCTACGAAGGGAGGACGGTCCATCTGTTGCGCATCGACCAGTCCGAGGGCGCCTACGACGTGAGCTATGATGCGTGGAACTACCTCGTCACGGGTTATCCGGCCACGGAGCGGCCGACGACGGGCGGCCCCGTCGCCATGGAGTACCAGGACGCTGACCCGTCGGCCTGCGCCAGCCTGATTCACACCGACGGCGGCAAGTTGCCGCTCAGCGCGGCCAACAGCATGAACTACCTCGCCAGCTGTCTTGCGCAGGACAGCTGGGTCGGCAAAAACCACGTCCTCTACAACATCCTCGACCCGATTTGCTCGTGGGGAAACGACGAGGTCTGTACCCTCGACTGGCCGACTGCCAACCAGGCAGTCTGTCCGACGCAGCTGGGCACGCCGTCCGTCTTGACGAGCGAACCCGTCTACAACATCCAGTACATGACGGGGAACAAGATCTTGGCTTCCAATGGGCAGGTCGTCTCCAGCGGTGGCCCAAGCATCACTTCTTCGCCTCTGGGGTTGAGTCAGAAATCGGGTGGTCGCGTTATGAGAGGCGATAGGGTGCTGGTCATGGCCATTGGTGTGTTCACCTACTGGGTGCTTGGCAGGATATGAGGCTGGTGGGCGGAGGAGGGACGTTTTTCTGGGATGGTGCTTGTTAACCTTTCGATACCTTACGGATACCCCTATTGCATGAATTTATATGATGATGGACCCTGTTCCGACTTTCGTTCGCCATCTGCTTCCAGTTCTAAGGACTAAACGGCAATACCTCCAAAAGACCCACGAACCCCTTCCTCTGTTCCTGTCATGGCAATTATATGCTCGCGTTCCCAAAGCAATCTCCGAATCATTCCCTCTATCGCTCCGACGTCCACTCGGCATCAGACCGGCTCCACGAGGCCAGTGGGTGGGATCGAACCCGTTCTCCCCAACATCCAATGCCGCGATACTTACCTGACTAGATATACCTGCCCTTCGAAGGCTGCCAGCTGTCCAACTCTAGTCTTCCCCGGGTGCGTGCACATGATGGGCACCAGCTCGCGCACCTCCGAAACTCCGAGCGCCGCCGGGCTCGGCACCTCCCACGCCTTCTCCTCGGTAGTGAAGTTGAGCACGACAAGCACTCTATCACCGCCGTGCGCTGGTTCCTTGACAAACACAAAGAGATCCTTGTCCTCGGGCCGCAGATCCTTGAAGTCGCCGTACACTAACAAGTCGGCGTGCTCGCGGCGAAAGCGCAGCATCTTGCGCCAAAAAGCAAGCACGCTGTCCGGGTCGTGGAGCTGCGACGCCACATTGATCTCGCCCGCCAGTGGGTGAGGCTTCATCCAGGGCTCCTGTAGCTCCTTACCGGCCTTCTCTGCCGCTTCAGAGAAGCCGCCGTACTTCGTCTTGCCGTTCCAGGGGATGGGCACCCTTGCGTGGTCCCGGGCCAGGTGCTGGATAGCGTCGAATGCCTTGTCGAGCTCGGCCTTGTTGTCGGCGCCGTGGCGCTCCTTGACCATATTGTAGTACAGCGAGCTGTCAATGTCGAGGTAGTTGTCGACGGGGTAGGACTCTTTGGGCACGTTGACGAGACCGATCTCTTGGCCCTGGTAGACGTACTGGGTGCCGCTGAGGCAGGCTTCCATCAAGGCGAGCAGCTTCGCGCCGCGGACGCGGTACTCGGGCCGGTCGTCGGTGAAGCGGCTGACGGACCTGGCCTGGTCGTGGTTCTCGAGGAAGACGGTGGACCAGCCGTCGGTGCCGCGGATCAGGGCCTGCGTCAGGTCGATGGCGGCCTTAAAGTCGGGGAGCGTGTAGTTCTTGGGCCTTGTCGCGAACTTGTGCGTTTTGCCCATGCCGACGTCCACCACGTCGAACTGGAAGACCATGTTGAGCTGCTTGGCCTTGGCGCTCACGTATCGGAGGACCCTTTGAGTGTCAGGAGTACAGGGCAGCTCGCCGACGGTAATCGCACCGTACTTTTCGAGGATGAGGTTCATCTCGGTTAGGAACTCGTGCATGCGTGGCCCGTTGCAGTAGATCATTCCTGCAGGCTGGTATGGTGTCTCGGGGTCGACGATTGGCGCATCTGGCAAAGTTGGTGGCTTGCTGTACATGTTGACTGTGTCGACGCGGAAGCCATCAACGCCGCGCGCGAGCCAGAACTCCATCGACGAGGCGTAAATGGCCTTCCTTGTCTCGTGGTTCTCCCAGTTCAAATCTGGCTGCTCGGTGGCAAAGAGATGCAGATAGTACTCCTGGGTCTGCTCGTCCCACTCCCAGGCGCTGCCGCCACCAAAGTTGGAGCGCCAGTTGTTGGGCGGCAGTCGCTCGCCGGACGGCGAGTACTTGGCTGGCCGCCAGATGTACCAGTCGCGCTTTGGACTGTCCTTGCTGGCCCGCGACTCCTTGAACCAGGAGTGTTGGTCCGACGTGTGGTTGATGACAAGGTCCAGCATGATGCGCATGCCGCGGGCATGTGTCTCGTTGATCAGCGTCTCCATGTCCTGGACAGTGCCGTAGGGGCGATAGACATCCTCATAGTTGGAGATGTCGTAGCCCATGTCCACCTGGGGACTGTCGTACATGGGGCAGATCCAGATGACGTCGACGCCTAAGCTTGCGATGTAGTCCAGCTTGGATATGATGCCTGGGAGGTCACCGATGCCATCGCCGTTGGAGTCGCAGAAGGACGCCGGGTAGATTTGGTAGACAACGGCCTGCTTCCACCAGAGCTTATCCCGAACGGTTACGGTCATGGTAACGGAAGGGAAGATGTCCGGCGTGATAAAGAGTAGTAAGGCTGTTGGAGGCTGCGTGGTGATAGGCAGAGAGAGGCAGTCAGCCAGGTGAGCACAGCGGAATTATGATCAAAGTGAGTAAAAGAGATTGTCCAAACATCAGAGCAATGCGGTAGGCGGATTGTCGACGCCTTTAGTCTTCATGTTGGTTGCCGTCTGTGGAGCAGCGGAGGCGGCGTGGTTTCCGCAACTTCGAGCCTCGGGCAACTCTGGCTTGTCCGCATGATGCATCCTCCGATGTCTCACAGCTTTTCTCAGCCCCGCACCGCTCCAACGTGGGGGGCCGATCGACCATGCCGGACCGACAAGTCATGGCCGGCGGATGCCAGGACAAAGCTGATTAGAACCGGTGATGCCGGAGAAGCGGGAGCCTGGCCGGTGCGGTGCTGGCGCAATGGGCGAGAAAGCCGGGTTGGTTTACTTCCAGGAACGGCAATTCTTTGCTCAATGATTGGCGATCTAGGGATCGGGAAACGGCCATGCAAGCCCCCTGCCAAGGACGTGCGAAGAAAATCTGGTGTGTGGGCTGTGATTCGTGGATTGCCGGGCCGGCAAAAAATGCGTTCTCATTGGTCATACGTCGGACCGATGCTAACTTCCCTTTCTTTCTGAAACAATTGTGACCGAGTTCTGTGAATCATCACCACAACTGCAGCCGAGCGAGAATTTGGCCGTCAACAAGCCGCCAAATCCAGGTGGTGTGCTCGATCGGCCCGACACGCGGCAGTGTTTCACTCAATCACGATAATTCAGGACGAAGCTACTGCCGTATCCTTCCGAGAACATTCGACAACAGGAAGATTCCGACGCGGAGTGAAAGTACCCAACTTAACCTTCATGCCTCATACATCGCATAATCACATGCCTAGAACGCTGGGTGACCTCGCCAACGACCTCTACGCCGAAAAGCGTGTTGCCCCGGGACCTAGACTCGCTGGAGTTCTTGGAGGAGCCACATGGACGACCCGCAGGTGGAGAGCTTGTCGGGCCGATACAGCACTGCGAGAGAAGATGTTGCGCCAACCCTGTAGTGGTGGCGCCTAGCGGCCGTCATCGAGGCTAGGCCCACATCTTGCGATCGTCAACCCCATGGGGACTAGAATCCGGGGATGCCTTGCCGTTTTTCTCCGCCAACTGCCGGGGGCTCGCATGGACGAACAGCTTGTGGCGCATGTGGGCCGGACTGGTTCCACGTTAGCGCTGTTCAAACTCACAACCCCAGAGCATCGCTTCCGTGAAGCCATCATGACCAAGCATCCGCAGTCGATGCCGGACCGACGAGGTGCCGCTTGTGCGGTATTGATGGGAGGTTGAGAGGAAGGCCAAGGAGCCGGTTGACGGTTTGCATGGTTTGCAACCGCACAAAGCTTCCACCACAGACGAGCCATCATCGGGCATCGGGCGACAACCTCCCAAATCGGCTGGCCATGTCTTAGCGATTGGACCCATATTCCCCAACGCTTTCCCAGGTTCCGTTAGTCTGCCGACCCGGGTTTTTGCTTGTAACAACAACGGCGACTTCCAACGCTGTGTCACGACCTCAATTGCTATAAGATGGCCGGTGTTTCCTTGCTTCTCGATGTTGGATGCTCCAGGCGCTCCGTCGCGGCACCCCAAACATCATATGCGTGTTGACTCGAATCCTCATCTCTCACCTTGTCGTTGCGTTTGAGCCCATCCATCAGATCACCCATCACGCGCGCTACCATGTCTCCAGCAAGAGGTGACGATGCCATCGACCGGGTGGCCGTCATCAGGCCCAACGTTGACGAGTCGACCGCCGCCGAGGCAGCTGCTGCGACCGAGGCCGAGCACAACACGGGCCTCCTCAAGTCCCTCAAGCTGTACAAGAAGGCCTGCTTGTGGTCCATATTCCTCTCGACTTGCATCATCATGGAAGGCTTTGACAACAACTTTCTCGCCAGTCTCTTTGCCTATCCTGCTTTCCAGCGCAACTTTGGTGTCGCCCAGCCCGACGGCACTTATCAGCTCACAGCCGCCTGGCAGACGGGCTTGACCAACGGCGTGCTGGCTGGCCAAATCCTTGGCCTGTTCGCCAATGGCATTATCGCCGACCGCTTCGGATACCGCTGGACCCTGATTGGCTCCCTGGTTGCTTGCATTGGCTTCATCTTCATCATCTGTACGTCGAATCCGCGCTCTTTTTGGGCCGTTTTGAAACGTCTGGAGAGTTACGGGGGTCGCCCCGTCCCCAAAGCTACCCTTATTGCTCCCGAACTACTCCCGAGTCACGCTTGTAAGGAATGAAATGATTGACATTGTTGGACAGTCTTCTCCGAGACGCTGCTCCAGCTGCTCATCGGAGAGATCCTCATCGGCATTCCTTGGGGCGTCTTCCAAACGCTCACGACCACCTACGCCGCTGAAGTGTGCCCGACTCATCTGCGAGCTTATCTAACAACATACAATAATATGTGCTGGGTACGAGCGCCTAGTATAGAGCTTCCTAGTCGTCGAGACATTGGCAACTAATCTCTATTCTCATGTAGGTTATCGGACAGTTCCTCGCATCTGGCGTGCTCCGCGCCATGCTCTCCCGCGACGACAAGTGGGGATACAAGATACCTTTCGCTTTGCAGTGGGTATGGCCGGTCCCGCTGATCATTGGCATCTACCTCGCCCCGGAGTCTCCATGGTGGCTCGTCCGCAAGGGCCGCCTCAACGAAGCGAAGCACTCACTCACCCGCCTGACGATGCGTAACTCTGGTGTTCCCTTCAAGCCCGACGAGACCATATCGATGATGGTTCACACCAACGAGATGGAAAAGGAACTGCTGGCCGGCACCTCATACACCGATTTGTTCAAGGGCGTCAACATGCGCCGTACCGAGATCGTTTGCATGACGTGGATGATCCAGACCCTGTGCGGTGCAACCTTCATGGGCTACTCGACCTACTTCTACCAGCAAGCCGGCATGGCCGTCGAGGACTCGTTCAGCATGTCGCTGGGCCAATACGCCCTCGGCATCGTCGGTACACTCATGTCCTGGTTCTTCATGCAGTGGTTCGGCCGTCGGACGCTGTATCTCTCAGGCCAGATCGTCATGGTCGTCCTACTCCTCACCATTGGCTGCGCCGCCTTTGCCGGGAAAGAAAACGTCACCGCGCAGTGGGCTATCGGCTCGCTCCTACTCATCTACACCTTCACCTACGACGCCACTGTCGGCCCCGTCTGTTACTCGCTCGTCTCGGAGCTGACCTCGACGCGGTTGCGCACCAAATCGGTCGTGCTCGCCCGTAACATGTACAACATCATGGGGATTGTCACCAACATCATCACGCCGCGCATGCTCAACCCGACCGAGTGGGACTGGGGCGCCAAGTCAGGCTTCTTCTGGGCCGGCACCTGCTTCTTGTGCGCCCTCTGGACCTTCTTCCGGCTTCCCGAACCCAAGGGCCGCACATACGGCGAGCTGGACGTGCTGTTTGAGAGCGGCGTCTCAGCGCGCAAGTTCAAGTCCACCGTGGTGGAGCGCATCGACGGCGTCAGCCGCGACGCCCTTGCCGAGAAGGAAAAGGCGCTCGCGGAGGAGGTCACAGTGGAGCGGGCTGATAGCCGGCCGAACTAGCCTACAGGTTTCTAGATGTAGGCAGTGGCAGAAGGTTATGTGAGCACCATGTAAGCCAAGGGAACGTTTAGCTTGAGTCTTTGGGAAAGCGCAATATGAGATATGAGACCCATGCGTGTCAGTCCACTGAACCCGATGTCTTGGTCTGCCCTCAGTTGCCTTGGATCGGTGAGGCCAGTGAGTCCAGCATGCGGTCGGGACGTTGCGTCAATGTCGGGCGGGCAGTTTTGCTTGCAACAAGTAGTTGGTCGCCTCTCACCTGACAATGGTGCAATCAACCCAGTGGTCAGACCGACGGCGCCTCTAAGCAAGTTAGGACAACCCCCGGTACTTGGGGCCTCAGTAATCCACCGTCTAGCCCTAAGTTGAGGCTTGCAAGTTTCCATCTGCCGGAAGACTGGCGAGGTGCTGTTGGTGGGATCCGACGCCCTCGCCGTTGTTGAAATGCCGTTGGCTCCATGCGGTGTGGTTATTCCCTGCCCGCGTTGGTGAGTTCGGCGACCTAGGACTGTTCCTTTCAGCCATCATTGTGTCATACATATTTCTTCATCTTACTATATTTGGCATTTCTCCCGGTTTCTTCCTTTTCTTGGTGTCTTCTCCTCCTCCCCGTCTCCACAGCCGCCAAGGTGCCGTACATCGCGTGCCTAGGTAGGTTTGCGCCCACGACGTCTCCTTGACAGCGCTGGTGGGCATTGCCCAGATGAGTATGAGGTTGACAAGGCATAGGCACTTATAGCCGGGACTGGAGAGCTCTGTTACCTCAGATGCATATGCCCGTCCAATCTCGTTCCTAGAGAGTTTTCGAGCTAGCTTAAATGATGAGGAAGCTACAAAACGGAAAGTACTCAGCCTATGACTTGGTCTCTTTCATGCAATGCGACTTAACTGTGGGCCCTTAAACTTCTCCTGGTCGTCTTTGACATTGAGCCAGATTGTTAGGTGTTTCTCGATCAGACACTCCAATCCCACGTAATCCTCGGACCGGTGGATGTCCCCTGATCTGCCACTAGCGACCGCCATTAGTAGCACCGACACGGATCCTATGAAGGCATCCTTGTACAAGAGGAGACGCAGGTACTTGTGATCGGAATGGGAGGGCTCTGTGACCTCCGACCACATGCCCTCGCCCTAGGCTTGGTATAATTATAGACCCTAGATCAATAATCATTGCGTACCCTACATACACTTGCAATCCCCAACGTCTCTTTCCCTCAGCAGCCACTCGACCCCCTTTGTTGCAGCTTGGAAACAGAGCTCACATTCAGACGGGTCAGGGGACGCTCATCTCGCCGGAGGACTCCCTGCCAGAGCCCCAAAATCCACGATCGTATACATTCCCCGCAAAGTGTCGAGCTTCTCAAGCAAGTACTCTCGGTGATGCCTCTGCGTGCGCTCAAAGCTAAACATGAAACGCACAAGAAAAAGGAAATCCTCAACTCGAGCCCGTGCCTCCTCCTGCGTCTGGCCGGGCCCGCGCGGCAGAGCGAGCACGTCGGCGACGGTGCTGGTAATCTCGAAGAGCTTCTGCAGGATGCCGCTGCCGTGGGTGATGATGCTCGACATGTTGCGGAGACGGCTGACGAGGCCACGCAGCTGCGCCGACAGGCGCTGGGCCGGGAAGTGGAGGGAGAATCCTTCGTGGGCATCTCGTGGGGGCGCGGAACGGAGCAGCCCGTGAGAGAGGGCGAGCTGCCAGACGAGTGTGCGCAGCCAGAGGCGCGTGACGAAGAGGTCGACGTGCTGCTCCTCGGTTAGCGCGCCGGCGCCGCTGGCCAAAAGCTCACGGGCGGCCTCGGCGGTCTCGGCCTCGTCGGCGTCCAGCTGTGCCTGCTTGCCCTCGATCCACTCTGCCGTGATGGCGGGGGCGCCGGGCATAGTCTGCGCTGTCCAGTGCGCGAGCATTTGGTCGTCCATGGTCAAGAACAGGCGGATTAGGCAGTTGAAACCGACCGTGACATACGGCGGGACGTCCGGGTCCGTGATCGGCAGGCCGGTCCGCAGGGGGATCATGGTGCAGGGGAAGCCTGACATGATGCACACAAAGCGCTCGTGGATGTAGGCCTCCCAATACATGCGCTGCTGGCGAGACACCTCGCGGCGCGTGAGGCCGCAGAAATTGTCTTCGGAATACTTGTGTATGTTGAGCATTTGGATCACGGCGATGGACTCGCGTAGACTGGCAAAGCTGCGATCGAAGCGCTTGAACGCCATGAGAGAACATTCGTTCCACAGGCCAATCATGGCACCCTTCACCGTCAAGGGCATGTCGCCCTGGATGTACTGTGGGTTGGCGTCCGTGCCCCTGCCGGCCATGTGATAGGCACATTGGCTATGATGAATGAGCGACGACATCTGAGCGGCAATGTCGCCATGCAGAGTCCATGATGTCTGCGTCAGGTTGATGGTAATGGCACCAAAGGCGTGGACGACGGCGGCATCTTCGTAGCTCGCATCCATGTTCTCGATGGCGGCGCACACTTCGTCAGGGGTTAAGACAGGGTTCACGGGGTAGACGAGCTGCTCGTACTCCGGCAGCAAGTTCATGAAAAAATCCTTGGAGTAGGCGGCGCCGGCAATGGGCGGAGCTGGCCCGGGGCGGCGCGGGGTGGCATGGTTGGTGTCAAGGATGGCAGCGATGGAGGTGACTGCAGCCGCATCGGAGCTCGACTCGGTGCGCGACGACGGCGGTGATGAAGGGCTTGAAACCAGCGGTGCCTTTCCGTTGCTGGCTTTGGTCGCCGACTTGCTGCGCAATTGAGCGACTAGACGGCCTCGCACGCCGGGCTTTCGCTTGGCTGGGGCGGGTGCAAAGTTGCAGGCGAGGTTCAGGTGGGCGCACTGGGTGCAGGGCTGCTTGGCGCTGCACTTCACTTTTCGGACGCGACAGGCATCGCAGGCCCGCGTGGCCTTGGTGCTCATGGGGGCTGCCGATGGACAGTCTCAGAAGGTAGGGGAGGTGAGGCTGGTCCACGACGGCCGCGCTGGGTGGTCATGGGCCATGGCGAACCTGGAGCCTCTCGCGCAGGCGTTTTATTGGCGCACTTCCGTGTCTGTTCAAGAGCGACCTAAAGGTTATTGGGAACACCCGAGGCTGGCGTAATACGGTGCGCTGCGATGTAGAGTGTGTGGACGAGAACTGACCATGAGAGTTTGAAGGTCACGGACTCCAGAACTCAAAATCTGAAATCTGGGGAAGGTCCACTCTGCTCAGATGTGTTGCCTCGATCGGGTTGGATAGCGGAGTGGGCTCCTTGGCAGCCTCGGCAGCTGCTGACAATATGCGGTGGGTCAAATTTTCAGTACACTAACCCTCCTGAGCCCTCAAGGTTGTCTTCATGACGACATCCGCGGCTCATGAGTTGGGCTCAAGCATTCGTGCAACCTCGCCAATGAATTCAATCTGTGGATAACTATGGCTCGTTGTACAATGCATTGCAACCCTCCATCTACCACTGACATGATCGAAATCTTCGTCGTACTCGTACCCGTTAAAATTGGTGACATGACATTCAACCAGTCGTTGGCAATCGCGAGACCGAGGGCCTGGGGCCGGGATCAGCGATACCAGGGGGATATCCCCAGTTCGAGATGATTGACAAGTACTCAAAAGCGCAGCGTACCCCTGGTACGTTGGATATTTGAACGAATTCTCCGATTTCAAACCACAGTGAATCTCCAATAATTCCCACTTACTCACATTCCGCCATCCATGCTCCGAGGTCAGACACTTACATGCAGACCAGATCTTGACGGTTGCATTCCGCTTCTGCCGGAATGGCGCTTTTAAGCCTGAGCCTAGGGCAGCTCCTTGCCCTGGGCTTTGCATCGGCAAGTAGCCCAACTCGTCAGCACGATATTCCGGCTTCAGCCACAATCATTGGGTGATAGCTAACGTACCCAACAGCTCATCTTCTACACAACCGGTTACATGCTCTACAACCTCTTCCTGCACCCCCTCCGACACTACCCGGGCCCTCTCCTTATGCGCGCTACGCGGTGGGCGTACAACGTGCGCCTCATCTCCGGCACGCTTCCTTTCGACATGCTGGCGCTGCACCAGCGCTACGGCCCCGTCGTGCGCGTCGCGCCCAACCAGTTGGCCTTTGCCAACCCGCACGCCTGGAAGGATATCATGGGCCACCGCAGCGGCGGCGAAGGGCGAGACGAGATGGAGAAGTCGAGCAAGTTCTACCGGCCAGTCGAGGGCGTGCCGCGGGACATCGTCAATGCGGATCGGCAGGAGCATGGGCAGCTGAGGCGGGCCCTGGCGCACGGGTTCAGCGAGAGGAGCATGAGGGAGCAGCAACCACTCATCAAGGGCTATATAGACTTGCTGATTCGGCGGTTGACGGAGATCAGCGAGCGTGGTGAGTCGGCGGACATGACAGCATGGTATAACTTTACCACCTTTGACGTCATTGGGGATCTGGCGTTTGGGGAGAGGTATGTCTAACTACGTCCGGGGCGCGGCGCGTTGAGAGAGCGGCGCTGACGATTATGGTGACTTGTCCCTGCAGTTTTGGGTGTCTGCAAGACTCGGCTTACCACCCTTGGGTCAAGAACATCTTCGAGCTTGCGCGAGCTGGGACCCTGGTTTCGAGCTTAGCGCACTATCCGATCCTGCTCAAGCTGTTGTTGGCCCTTGTGCCTACAAAGTTTGCTGAGGAGCAGAAAAAAATGACAGAGAGCAGCTCAGCGAAGCTTCGGAGGCGGATGAAAGCGTGGAAGGAAAGGCCCGACCTAATCGAAGGACTGCTCAAGCGGGCTGACGAATGGGTATTAGTCAACTTTCAAACCTACTGCGTCCAGCATGGTGAAGTCGAGAGCTGACTCTGATATAGGGGCTCACGCTCGGGGAGCTCTGTGCGAATGGCTCCATCCTCATTATTGGCGGATCCGAGACCACAGCGACATTACTCGCGGGAGTGACATACTTGCTCTTGACCAACCCAGAGCCCATGCGCAAGCTGGTTGCCGAAATTCGTGGAGCATTCAAGTCCGAGAACGAGATCGACTTCACAAGCGTCAACAGACTGCCATACCTCCTGGCCTGCCTGGAGGAGGCCCTGCGCATGTACCCGCCCGTCCCCATGGGCCTTCCCCGGGTTGTTCCAAAAGGGGGCGCCAGCATTGCGGGCGACTATGTGCCCGAGAAGGTGAGACACGGCCCAGACGAATCCCCAAGGCTGTGCACGTTGCCCGATATCTGACCATACGGGGTAGACCATTGTGGCTGTCTACCAGTGGGCCATGTACCACAACGACCAGCATTTCAAGGACCCTTTCTCTTACCACCCCGAGCGATGGCTGGGGGACCCGGCATTTGCAGACGATAACAAGGAGGCTTTCCAGCCGTTCCATGTCGGCCCCCGAAACTGTCTTGGCAGAAATCTTGCCTACATTGAGATGCGCCTCATTCTGGCCCGCGTCTTGTGGAATTTTGATTTGCGGATCGCCCAGGACAGCATGGACTGGATGAGCAAGCAGCGAGTTTACAACTTCTGGCACAAGGGAAAGTTGAATGTCTATCTGACGCCTGTTGTAAGGTAGGCAGATACGCTTCAGAGGCTCTGGTCGACGCCTAGTCTGGGGGAAGCCTTGAATACGCTGTTGCTGCTCGAGCCCTCTTCCTGCAAGGCTATTGGGTAATATGGCGGCATATCTGCGTCGTTAGCGTCTTGGCGGGCAAAGTCCTTTATTCCTCTTTCAAAAGGTGGTCCCTATAAGAGGTCTCTTGGCTAGGTCTATGTGTGCTTCTGTACGCATCAGGCTTCGGGTTGGTTCAGGTAGCCGTTGGTGCGCAACATATCCGGTCAAGACTGTGGTTGATACCTAATCTGAGGTGAACTGGAGGTAAGACCTCTCATACAAGTCCACAAATCGTCTTGGAATTTGTTGCTCAACTCGGCATCAGCTGACATAGATAATCGATGTGCATCGGCTCCCCCAGCTGATGAAGATAACAAGTTTTCGGACTCGTCTTGCTTTCGCCGTCACGCTGGATCGTCTTGGCTCTGCTCTGTCCAAGATCATCCGCTCCAGTTACCAACGCTACACAGGGAGAGGGATGCAGCACTGCAGAAGAGGACTTCCGCCGTATGGTTCAGTCACCGTCTATTTTATTCGTCAGCTGGATCTTATCATGGACTATCACCGTGGCTTGCGAGTACCGACATCCCACACCAACTCAAGTCAAACCCCTGGAGGTTAACATGCAGGCCCAGATGCGGCCCTCCCCGAGACGCTAAAACATGGATCGCTCTCGATCCACAAGTCCACATCTGTCTGGTTTCTCGGCGCTCGGTGCTGACCCATGGAGAGCTCCACCGCGCACGGATTGGGAGCCGGGGGTTGAGGTTCCGCGCCCCATCCGGATAGACCGAGCTTGAGTAGCGGTCGGCTATGAGTGGCTAGCGCCTGAGGACAATTCGGGTGCGGACAAAAGAGCGCGACTCTCCGCCAATGGAGTGACTTCCCAAGACACCAATAAAGTTCATGGCGCCAAGCAGCATCCCATAGCTTCAAGGTGAGACATTTGCTGAGCGTCCGCCACAAACGTTAGTGCTCTCCATGCCACATGGAACTTGCGTAGTCTGCCTCGGATGGACCAGAGGTCTAGCCTTCAGGTGGACCATAATAAACATCGGGTTTCTCCACAGCTCTCGAGAAGGATGAACGTCTTTCTCCTGCTTTATCTGGCATTGCTTCTTTTTTGGGCAATCGGTCGGTGCCCGCTATCTCTTTCCCGCCTCCACGTTCTGTCGATGAAACGCTTCGGCCCGTCATGGCCGGCCCACACAACTGGACCCGAGAGACAAAACCACAAGGGGAGCATCTCGGGCCGTACCTGAACCGCGTTATCTGGACGCTGGCGGCACTCTCAGGCCTCTTCCTGGGGCTACGCCTGTTTTCCAAGCTATGGCGCCATCGAGGGCTTTGGTGGGACGACCACTTCTTGATCGCAAGCTGGGTACGCACGCTTCTTATGGACAATCCAAACCGCCCTACCTATGCCTTCTCTAATTATTGCTGAAGCTTGCGCTCGTCATCTCGTGTTCCTTGCAGTCGGTCGGAGTCACCTACGGACTAGGCAGATTATATGCCGAACTTGACGAGCCAACAATCAACGCCATCTCCTTGTACTCGATGATCGCCGGCTTCGGCTCCATCCTCGCCACCTGTTGGAGCAAGACGTCGTTTGCCATCTCCCTCTTGCGCATTTCCAACGGCTGGGTCAAGTGGTTCGTTTGGTTCATCATCATCAGCGTCAACCTCGTGCTGGGCTCAAACGGCGCCATCCAGTGGGTGCAATGTTGGCCCATCCAGAAGCGCTGGAATTACTGGATGGAGGGCAATTGTTTCGAACCCAAGATTGTACAGAGCTACAACGCATTTATCGCGGGTGCGCACTTCCAAGACAAGCCTACGGGAGGTGACGAGGTGACTGACAGGGGGCACTCGACAGCATTCTCGGGCTTCATGGACATCGTGCTTGCCCTCCTTCCCTGGAAGATTATCTGGACCGTCGCCATCAACAAGAGGGAGAAACTGGGCGCCTTGGTAGCCATGAGCGCAGGTCTCATGTACGTCTGGCGCGGACCATGTATGAGAGTTCCTTCTGATGGTGCTACAACAGATCCGGAGTCATGTCATTCCTCAAGATCAGAACGCTCTATGTGATTGGAAACGATAACGGTGAGTGGCCAATCTCCATTTCCATTGTCCCTAAACCCAAAGCGTCAATTCACACGGCCATTGCATTGCTGCAGTAACAACGGTCGACCTCTTCATCTTTGGCACCGCCGAGCCAGCCACCATGATCATGGCCGCCTCGATCCCCCTCCTGCGCGCCCTCATCCGCCGAGACCCGCACCCGAAACCGACCACTTTCATCACACTCACCGACAACCGGAGAAAGGCAGCGACGTCGCCTCCGCCCGAGTCACCGGCCCAACTTGTCGACAAGCAGAGTGCAGAGGAGTCATGGGCAAAGGTCTCTCACCTGGAAGCAGCCCGCCTCCGCGGTCACAATGACAGGGGGGTTATGGACTACAAACCAGAATGGGCTGACTGATAGCTTAGGCATGATTTGAAAATCGTTTTGCTAGCGGCTGGAAGCTGTTGTACCGTTATCTTTGCTTTGTGGCGTACCGGTTTGCCCTACGAGCTACACCCCATGATGATTGCGATAATACTGGTTACCTTATCTTAGCAATTTTTTTACCTTGTAAAGAGACTCTGACTTGATGCGGATTTCCTGTAAAGCCAGCTGAGTTCATACTCAGCCTCTGAAACCGGACGGTTATCGACTGTTATCCCGCCACCAAACCCCGCGATACCCTACTATGGCAGTCGCTCGCGAAGTCATGCTCAATGAGACGACACCTCGTAGTCTGTGCGCGTTCTGGAAATGCCCTGCATCAGCTGAAGTCCTGATGATGTAAGACAACTCGACAGCAAGTGAACCTGGTGTCTGAGACAAAGAAGGGCCGTGCCAGAGTCTTTCAGTTCGGGGACCATGGATCAAGCCACAGGGTCGCAAGCACTTCCAGGAGTGGCTTAGGGACATCCCGATGTCCAGGTCCGCGTCCGCGGTTCTCGGCTGTCAAGCTCGAGTGGTCCCTTGACGTTGTGGCGCGTTGTCTGACTGAACTGGCTACCCCCGAATAGGGTGTTCCCGCAGCAGCGCAGGGAGAGGGGGGAGCTTGTGGGAGTTTCGTCGTCGATCTGTTTGAAGAACGATAGAGGAATGGCGGCAGCATGGCAACTGAACTAATGGAACGTTATCAGCCCACGTCGTGCTGGAGGCAAAGAGAGTGTACCGGCGAGGCTCGCTGCGGAAGGGAGTAGGTCTGTCCAATAGAAGATACAGATTTCCAGATAGCATACGGTATGCCCATTGCAATAGCTACATGTACGGATAGCGCCGGCCTTGTGCCGTTCTGTGAGCCATCTCCGCGTCTGCAATCATATGTGCTACAAGATACCGGACCCTACTGGGTACCGGAGGGGTTCTCAAGTAACTAAGTCAATAAGTTAATTGCTCACCACAACTTCAGGTAGTATATCAAAGTACTCTAATCCTGTCTTACAAACCAACCTAGTCGATTTGTTAGTAGAGAACTTAGTCAAACAACAGGAATAATAGGCTAGCAACAGCATTGTACGACGTACGTTATAAGCGAGTGAGCCACTTTTCCCCACCCTACTACAATTCTCGTCAATTGTAACACACCAACATTAATAGCTGCAACAACGCATTCCATTTCGGACGAAGCACTCACCGAAAGCGAGGCCGTGGCCATGATCACATTTCACTTTACCATCATCGAGCCCCTCGTCAAGCGCTTCACTAATTGGGCGCTAGGCTATCTCACCAACGAGACGGGCGGCTCGCCGAATCACCAACCGCTCAGCACAACCGAACTAGCACGTGTTATGCGTGCTATGTACCGCTTCCAGCTCTGCTGCAATCTCTTCCATGATCGCGCCGGCGCCCAGTACACATGGGCTCACTTCAAGCCCGACGACATCGTCAAACTGTTCTTCTGCCTATTCGAGCCCTGGAAGAGGTGGTCTGTATCTACGACTTTGCCAAACATGAATTCGACCAGATCTTCCGCGACATCCACTGGGACGTGAACCAGGAGAATCCCAGGTTCGCCGACCAGCCGCGACCACCAACGCCAAATGGAGCATGCGACTTCCATGGTTAGTGTACCCCTCTTTTGCTTTTCATAAATACTCTCGTTCCCCTACACGGACACAGGTCGTCCAGGTAGATATGCTGATGCCATGCAAAAACGGAACAGCGGAAAGGGATTATTGGTTAGGAGGGACAGTCACATGCGGCTCGGAGCTCTTGCACACCGTCCTGTTCAAGATGAGGGACCATGAGCACTTGGTCACTACCATGCAGAAGAGCATGACGGGAAGACAACCTCTTCGAGTACGCGATTGCAGAGGGTATGCAGCGGGCGCGACACAGGGAGCAGCTCTCAGAGAGGGACCTGAAGGAGCAAGCGCGGGATCCGCTGCCGTTTGTAGGGGATCTGGAGCCGGAAGCACACGGATCTTGTCCTCCGCTGGCGTGGACTTTCATATGGAAGGGGACCTACAGCAATCTGTACGGCGAGCATCTCGAGGGTAAGATACGTCGCTGGGGTTATATCATGTGGGACGCTGCCAGGCTTGAGACGGAAAGGGGGGAAAGCCCTGCTATTGAGGCAATGGGGCACTGACTGGGATCCACGAGGAATGGCATTCTAAAGTATGGACTATGGGTTACGTACGTACAATAGCCGTCGTGACCGCTATCCTTCCCAAGTGCATCTTCTGCCGTAGAGCGCTCATCCTATCGCTCTCATTCTAACGGGCTCGTACGGCTGGTCCGGCTACGGGATACGGCCTCAGGCGCCGAGCGGCGTGTGCTGCAAGGGCGAAAAACCGCTCAACGGCTCCCCAGCCTTCCCATACCGATCCAATCTGAGTAGTATCAACGTGGAAGGGTGTCTAGCTGTTCATGAAGGTTGCCGTAGGCTCTCATTCCCCGAGAGTGAGACACTAGATGAAGTCGACGCCGCACCGTAAGGTTTGTTGGTCTCTATGTATAGAGTGTAAACCACACACAGCCTTGCAGGTCCCCTGATTACGATGGCGCGGGTGCAGGGCTGGTGGCGTTTCGGCCCGCGAAAGGAGGCGCAGGAGGGAGCACTGTTGGTCGATTGACCTGCAGGTTCGTCGCGATCGGATCGGCTAAAAGCGCGATATTCGTAGGATTAAAAAGGCTTCAACATCCTTTCTCCAAACACGACAAGCCTGGCAGTCGGGTGTGCTCATTACTATCTTAGGATTGGTCAGGAGGTTTTTTTTCTTGCTCGTGGTGGAGCAAAGGCGGCCTCACGGTGAGGTTTCAACCTCGTCGATGGAAAGAAGGTCCGAAGATACGGTTGGCCATTCGGCTCGGCGCCTCTATGCGCGCCAGCTTGAGAGGTAAGCGATGCTTGAATGCGCCATTTCTGTGCCTTGCGCGTTTTGGATTGCCCAGGCGCCCGAAAACATGGCCGGGAATTTCTCGTGCCGTTTCTGGTGTTCTGGCGTTTTCCAAGCAGATTTTGCAGGGGGGCGCCCCCCCCCTCCCCCCCCGGCATCCCTGTCCGCGGTCGAAGAGAGCAGAGTCAGATCCAGTTGAGCTTGATGCGTGGATTTTGCCCATGATTTACGAAGATCGCCAGGCTGCCCTCGCTTCTTGACCTCCAGAATAAAGAATTTACGGTAGCTACGGCAGCTGCACTGTACCTTGCCTTCGATCATCCGACTGTTTAGCTCCGTCCGAAATTGACCACAAACGGAGGCCGGAGCGGCACAGGCGGCAGCAGTTACCCCGCTCTCCATCGCGATTGCCCCGCCATTTTAAACTGTTTCAAGCTCAGCCTTGATTTTGGATTCCCACTCATAACGTCACCAACACTGCGACTGATCCCCAGCCAGGTCCTCGGAACAACTACACCACCACATCTCCCTCTTTACACCTTTTTGGGCCACCACTCCATTCAGACACAATCTGCCAACCCCCGCCTAGATCGCCTTTCTGTTAACGCGCGGCAAGGCGCGCTATTGGCAGTTTTCTTGTGCGCCAGTGTTTATCCAACTTCAACCTCAACTATGCCAGGCGTCGTCGAAGATACATCCGCCTCCTCGGGCAGGCTACTTCTCATTTCCAATCGCTTGCCCATCACCATCAAACGCTCCGATGATGGCCAATACACCTTCTCCATGTCCTCCGGCGGTCTCGTCACTGGCCTGAGCGGCCTGTCCAAAACCACAAGTTTCCAATGGTACGGATGGCCCGGTCTCGAGGTGCCAGAAGCCGAGGCGGGGCCCATGAAGGAGCAGTTGAAAGAGAAATACAATGCGATCCCAGTATTCGTCGATGATGAGCTGGCTGATCGCCATTACAACGGCTTTGCGAGTGAGTTGCGTTCCCTTGACACATACCCCGCCTACTCTCTACCATCCGATGACTAACAGGCCTTGACCCTCAGACTCGATCCTCTGGCCCCTCTTTCACTACCACCCCGGCGAGATCACCTTCGACGAGTCCGCATGGGCGGCATACCGCGAGGTCAACCGGCTATTCGCCAAAGAGGTGGTCAAGGACGTGCAGGACGGCGATCTGGTCTGGGTCCACGACTACCACCTGATGCTAATGCCCCAGATGCTGCGCGAGGAGCTTGGAAACACCAAAAAAAATGTCAAGATCGGCTTCTTCCTCCATACTCCCTTCCCCAGCAGTGAGATCTACCGCATTCTGCCTGTGAGAGAAGCGTTGCTGCTGGGCATCCTGGCGTGCGATCTGATTGGCTTCCACACGTACGACTACGCGAGGCACTTCTTGAGCAGCTGCTCCCGGATCCTGTAAGTTTCGTCCTACTAACCGGGTCGATGGATCATACAGATTAACAACAACAGTGGAACGACAACGACACCCAATGGCGTTGAGTGGAACGGCAGGTTTGTCACGGTTGGCGCGTTCCCGATTGGCATCGACCCGGAAAAGTTCGTCGAGGGTCTCAAGAAAGAGAGCGTCAAGAACCGCATCGCCGCACTGAAACGCAAGTTCGAAGGCGTCAAGCTGATTGTCGGCGTCGACCGGCTCGATTACATCAAGGGTGTTCCCCAGAAGCTGCACGCGCTCGAGGTGTTTCTCACGGAGCACCCCGAGTGGATCGGCAAGATTGTGCTAGTCCAGGTGGCCGTTCCCAGCAGGCAAGATGTCGAAGAGTACCAAAATCTGCGCGCCGTGGTCAACGAACTGGTCGGACGCATCAACGGCCGGTTCGGCACCATCGAGTTTATGCCGATTCACTTCCTGCACCAGTCGGTCACCTTCGACGAGCTCACGGCGCTCTATGCCGTCAGCGACGTCTGCCTGGTTAGCTCAACGCGCGACGGCATGAACCTGGTCTCGTACGAGTACATCGCCACGCAGCGCGAACAGCACGGCGTCATGATCCTGTCCGAGTTCACGGGCGCCGCCCAGAGTCTCAATGGCAGTCTCATCGTCAACCCATGGAACACCGAGGAGTTGGCCAACGCCATCCACGATGCCGTCACCATGTCGCCCGAGCAGCGAGAGGCTAACTTCCATAAGTTGGAACGTTATGTCTTCAAGTACACGAGCGCCTGGTGGGGGCAGAGCTTCGTGACCGAGCTGACGCGCATCTCGGACGAGGCTGCGTCAAAGGATGATAAAGAGGGGGCCAAGCTGTCGCTGAGGACTGCCGCCGAGGGCGTTGCGGGCGCCGCAAGCAAGGCGATCCAGGGGGCGCACGAGGTTGTGGCGGGGCCTTCGGGGGAGAAGAAAGAGTAGGAGTAATGGGGTGTGCGGTTTGCATTGTTGATGTCTGATGCCGGGGATGCGACTAGCGTTGATGGAGAGAACCACTGGAGGACCCGAAACTTGTTTCGTGTCTTGTGGGAATATGCAGCGGCTGATTGGAAAACCAAGCCTTTCTCCGTACGGTGATGAGTGAGCCGTTTCGACGGCGTTGAGGGGTCTGTCTTGGTGGTTTATGTTTTTAAGTTACTTTTATTACTTGATAGAATGTTAACGTTACAGGAAGCGGGGCGCCGTTCTCGTCTTTGTTGTCACGCGGAACCATATATGTTGGCGCACACGGGGTGTGTGCCCGCATGAGCGGACCAATTATTCGCCCAACAAGCACAATCTGCCTTTTCCCTGGCGCAGAAACACTTGGGTTAAGATGAAAGGCCTCCGTGCATGCATGCACCGAGTACTCGGCATGCCCGAGATGTCTGGACAAGGCTTCGACGGCCCGGCCCCACCACCCCTTGCCCGGCTTGACGGAATCCGAGGAATGCGACCGGCTCTCTCGGATTCGGCCCCGGTCCAGGAACCGCGGGACCAATCAATAATCAGGACGGTCAGCCACAATGCTTAGCCGCCGGGATCTTTCCATGTGGTGCCATTTGCGGCAAGTCCGCCAGCCGTTGGCTGCTTCTGTGGGGCAGAAGGCGCAAGGTCCGCGTAAGAGGAGGGACCATCACTCCTGGTGGGGGTTGATGACAAGCTTTCTGCACTGCGATCCACGGGAAGAAGCTGGGTAGGCTGAGGCTGTAGCAGGGAACCTACTTATATCATGCAAACAGCCCCTCGCATCATTCTCATGCCCATGCTCCTGCAACTGCCGTCTCTTTCCGGTTCTTCTGCCATCGCCGTATACCACCAGCCACCCATCATGTATACTGCCTACAAGTACGCCAAGAAAAAATATAGAGAACGGCAGGAGGCCGGCGCCGAACAGCATCGTGTAGAGACGACTCAGACAAGATCGTATGCCAACAAAGGGGCTCATACCGACAGCACGAGGTTCCTCACCGCTTCCCCTCAAAGCTTCACCGCCAGTGGCCTACCAGGCAATCCGCACACCACAGGCGCAGAACCCCAGGAAAGTCCTGAAGAGCGATCTGAGAAGCAACGCCGGCGTAAATACCGCCTCAAGATCATCCTCGGTCTGTTCGCCCCCTTCACCCTGCAAGCCCTCGACACAACCATCATTGCCTCGGCACTGAAATTCATCGCCGACGATTTCAGTAAGTCCCGGCTAGCCCTCCTTTTCCATCCCAACGAGGGGCCTTCAAGAACATAACCATCTAACCAAGCCCAACCACAGACGAACTCTCCCAACTAAACTGGATCATCACCTCGTTCAACCTCACCTCGGCCGCCTTTCTCCCCTTCTTCGCCCAGCTAGCCGACGTCTTTGGCCGGCACGCCACCCTCCAAACTGCGCTGGTCATTATAACCGTCGGCTCCGCGCTGTGTACCGCGTCCCCCACAAATACCTTCCCGCTCCTCCTGCTCGGCCGCGCCCTGCAAGGCGTCGGCGCCGCAGGCATCAACATTTGCGTCCGCACCATCTTGGCGGACAAAGTTTCGCTCGGCGAGTATGCCAAAAACTGGACTGTTTTTGCGCTGGTGTCGGGGCTGAGTTTCAGTATTGGCCCTGTGGCGGGGGGTTATCTGACGCAGGCGAGCTGGCGGTGGTGTTTTGCGATCAACCTGCCCGTGGCGTTAATCGCGATCGGGTTGGTGGTGGCGTTGTTGAGGAAGGAGTTGGTTGGGCCGCTGGCAATCGGGGACGCTATGGGCGCTGGTGAGGGTGTAACGAGGGACGGTTTGCATAGGGGGAATGGTAGAAGGGATGTGGAGACGAGGACGGGGAGGTTCTTGATGAGGCTGGCAACGGTGGATGTCGGCGGGCAGTTGCTGTTCTTGTGGGGGTTTGGGTTGTTGGTGTTGGCGTTTACGTGGGCGGGCGGGATGTATCCCTGGGATTCGGCCTCTGTGGTGGCGTCGTTAGTGTTGGGTGGTGTGTTGGCGGTGGCGTGGTTAGTGTATGAGTGGGCGATGGTGCCGGGGAGGGTCATGGTAAGGGTGTTTCCGAGGCAAAAGGCCATGATTCCATGGCATCTGCTGATGCAGAGGGATATCGGCTTGTTGCTGGGCATCAACTTCGCGACTGGGGCCGCCATGTTTGCCGTCATGTACTTCATGGACCTGTATTGTAAGTCAAACCCGCGCTCGTTTTGCCCCTCTGAGATGTCTCGTGAGTTACGGGAGCCGCCTGTCCCCGAAGCGGCGCTTTTTGCTCCCGATTGACTGCCGAGTCACGCTTGTTTGGAATTGGATGACTGACATTGTTGGACAGTCACACTGGTTGTGGGGCACAGCGCCAGCCAGGCTGGAGTGTCGCTCCTGTACTTTCTCCCCGGACTGGGCGGTAAGTCGATGCGCCCTTCTTAAGTTCTCAGCAGAACGAGTGTGCTGACTGACTCGTGATGCAGCCGGCGTCTATTTCGCCATGTTCTTGATCAATGTCGGGCCGCGACAGACGATCCCCGTCCTGTTCCTCGGAACCACCAGCTCTGCGCTTGGCATTACAGTGCTCGCCTGGGCTTGCCATACCGAGTACACAAATCTCACATACGGGATGATGGCACTCACTGGTTTTGGCGTGGGGTTGAACACCAACCCAGGTACTCTCCATGCCTTGGCCTACTTCCCCGGCATGACAGCACCCATCACCTGCCTGACCACGTTTGCACACCCCTTCGGCGGCACCATCACGCTGACGATCATGTCTACTGTGTTCAACAATCGGAGCGGGCCGAAGCATGAGAATCCCAAGTCCGGGATTGTGTGGGCGTTTGTTGCCGTTATGCCCATTGTGTGGTTGGCAGTGTTTATTACAACCTTCCTTGGAAATGTGTGGATCGGCAAGAACGGGAATCATGAAGTGATTCAAGGGTCCTGGTTCTGGAATATGCTCAGGGGTAAACGTCTCGAGAGGGTGATGATGGCGGGGGCAAGGGATTCCGGGCTGGTTGACGGGAATGGAAATATCAATCTGAACGTAGTCGCTCCAAGGCCGTTAGAGCCTGGGATAGATACGGAACGGGGGAGATGAGAATCTTCCAGGCTCCGGTGGCTGAGGGGAGGATATAGACTGGGGTACGGAGGCAATGGTGAAAAGCAAAAATCGATCCTTTAAACCTGTAAAACCTGTAGTGAAACACTAGCTCTCAACTTGAAGCGCCTGTTAACTCGCAGAGCATAATTGGTTGATGTTCTATGTCTTCACTACATATAGTTTCCCTCTCTCAGATTCCCCTTTGCCGTAGACTAGACTCGGAATGTGTAGCAATCAATGCCCATTTTGAGAACGTTGCTCACCTGAGAGGCTGAGACCGTAGCCAACTCGAAGATTGCCTTTTTAGGAAGTCTGGTGCTCATGTCGTCGTCACAAGTCGAGCTGTCTTTCGCAGAATGCCATGACGTCACGTCTGAAGCCTTGCGCCTTAAAATCAATTACTCGAAATCACGAGCGTGATAAGTACCCAACCGGACTCTCTCAACTACTACAAGCTAAATCATCCAGTGGTCTCACCCAGTTCATTCAGCTTTCAATTTTAAAGCAAGCACAATGCCCGCAGAAGTCAAGGACAAGAATGGCGAGCCGATTAAAGAAGGCGACCATGTCTTTGCCCGCTCGCGCGGTGGGAGGCACGAGGGCGAGGTCGAGAAGGTTGTCACATCCAAGGAAGAGTCTGAGAAGGAGGGAGTAAAGCACCCGCCCAAGGTACATTACATACCCATCTTTCCATCTTCAACTCTTGAGCAAATCCAGTGAAGCAAACTGACATCTGTAACAAGGTGTTGTTCACCGACCAGCATGGACATCATGTCCAACACAATCCCGGCACACTGCAGCATGGGGAGTATGAGAAATGAATCAGGAACAGCATTGGCGAATATCAAGGGGCGGAGGATACTCCGATGCAGTGAAGGAGCCGGCCTTGGAAATTGCATCGCGATGAATAGGCCTTGTCTCAACAATGAACCCTAGTCTACCTTGAACCTTGTAGGGTGCAGTGAGAAGAGACCTAGATGAGTCGAAATGAACCGGCTACTTGCTGCCTTGACCATCCGCCGAAGCCTGAGAGGGTAACGAATGGAGTGCCAGTTGTCCATCAATTCCATCCCCAGAAAACCGGCTTTTTTACTTGGCTGTAAGCCGAATGGCTTCAAACAGAGCCACCCGCCCCATAGTGATGCAATATCTGAGAAATTTTGTCTAAAGAGTGACGCCAGAAAGTCGTTTGGTAAAAACTGCCCGCAACCAGCATGGTGGGCAACAATGGAAAAAAGAAATGGGATAACCAGGAATCGAACCTGGGTCCTCTCGGATCATTGTGTCTTGGCCACAACGAGAAGTACTAACCACTATACTATTATCCCAAAAGCTTATCGGCGGTTGGCAAACATGCACACATAGTATCCCAACAACAGTGCATAGAGCTGCTCGACTGTTGATTTTTTTTTGGTCCGAGAAATGATAACAGACTCGAAGCTTTGATTATTACACTCTGCTCTGTCTACTTCCACCCTGTTACTGTCTTGCCCCCACCTTCCCCATGTTGTTTATTCTCTTGTTGTAATCTGGACGTCCATTGCTTAGTCCCGGTAACTTCTCGACTTCCCTTTTCCTGCAAGCAGACAAGTGGATCAATCACTGAACTGAGCCATGGCCTAGGCGAAAGAACAGGCTGAATTGAGTGCTGTCAAGTCTGTACCACGGTCTGTACGGAGGTTACCGGCAAAAGTTTTCCAAGTGGGCCAGGTACTGGCAAAGGTGGACCACCATCCCCTCGATGTACCTTCACCATGACAGCGCGT